ACTGCACTTAGAAATACCTACATATACATATATTATTCATTTACATATACATCTAGGATGGTTATTAAGGCAATAATGGATATATAGATGGCTAATAAATCGCAAACTCAAGGGTATTTGAATGACGTAAATATTATAAACTTGTATCTACATGTACGCAGTTGACTATTATTCTATCATGGAACTCAACATTGAAAATTATCCCCAAAAAATGTCCAGTTGATAACAGAAAACTGTTACAATAAGATAGACGGTCGTTAAATATACATGATAGAATAAAATAAGTGAAAATATTGTTTTATTGTAGATCCATTAGGAATGGTATTCAGTAGGGACAAAAAGACTTGTTTAAATACATACATTATTGATAAATTGTCATTATCAGTGGTAAATAGTAAAATACAGTGGTGATAGCAAGCATTGATTTTTCCTATTGAGTGGTTTCATTTATATTACAATCTGTAGAGTTACAGTGTAAACATAATAACTATTACAGATAGCACTTCCGTAAATTTGTGAAAATACATGTAACATAGAGCGACATTGGTAAACATAACCATACAAACTGACTGACAATATAATTTAATGATAGACTTTATTTCTAATTCCATTGATAGTTCTTTAAAAAATTGTTATATTTTCGAAGGTTACACATTACGGTACATGTAGGTTCTTTATATAGCCGTTCTGATGGGATGAAAACCTGAGGTCCCATGTACACATAGAGTAGGCCGTAGTGCCGTTGCCCGGGCAAAATTTCTCTCAGTTTAGGAGCAGAACAGTAGGACGTTAAACCCCATTTCATTTCATTTCAGGTTCTTTATATGGGGAAATCTTGCATAGACAGGGCTTTTTAACCTGGAAATATATCAGTTTATCTATATGATTGTCAATCCAGAATACTTGACTTACCTACATGTACATGTACCGTACTTTATAGCTCAGATTTGGGTTAGTTTTGATGTGGATATTTGAAATAGGACAAAGAAAATGCCAGTTTTGTTTAATTAGTAGAGCTATCTCTCGACTTCTTGTATTATTAATATTGGGAGCCTCAGTGGCTAAATGAGTAAGGTGGTGGCACAGTAAACAGAGGTCCCGGTTTATTGCATTGTTGGCCGAGAAAATTTATTTAAATATTAGATTTACATAAAATGCGAAGGACTCAGGAAGTCTTTATAACCCTATTTCACCAATAAACATAACCTGGGTAGTGTCAGTTTAGTCTGGACTTTAGTTTGCTTACTTTCAGTTGATATTGTAAAGAACTTTATAAATTATTCTCAAGGACATTCATTTCCTTTTCAAAATGTTGGTTACCCAATCTAACACTCTTATTTTTCTAGGTTAATCTGATGTGTTCTCAAATCTACATTTTACCTAATGTGTTCCCAGCTTAAATATATGTCTTTCTTTTGATCAAATGTGTTCTGAAATCCTGTGTTTACCTACATGTAATGGTGTTCTTTTCTGTTTATTTTACCAAATGTGTTCTCAAATCCCCGAGTGTATCCGGTACCTAATGTGTTCTCAGCTTAGAAATCTTCAGCTTACTCTAATGTTTTCTCACATTTAAACCTGGATTTTTTGAAGATGTTAAATTTGTTCTCAGTTGATATGTTCCTAATGTGTTCTCAGCTTAGAAATCTTCAGTTTACTCTAGTGTGTTCTCACATTTAAACCTGGACTCTTTGAAGATGTTAAATTTGTTCTCAGTTAATATGTTCTATTTGCACATTGAGGATTGTTGATACAGTATATGTACAAATGGTGAAAGATTTATGTGAAAATATATAGTCAATATTATTATTAACAATAATAGCCATTCTTGCCGAACATTGATTGTGAAACAATGCGTGTAAAGAATTTGATAGTACAATGTAGATGTATTGTATAGAGATCAATTTGACGAGTTAAAATGGTGGCTGGGTTACTTTTACAACATTGTGTTTAATATATATAAAGAAGCAGTAGCGGAGTTATTGATTTTTGTTGCTGCCTTTATTCTAGTGTTATTGTAGGGTACTATGATAAACCAGGAGAACTCCAGGTTTTTAATTAAATTCTTTTGAGTTTTTCTCTTGTCTCAAACTGTGGTGGCCTACTTCCATTATTAGACATCCAATTACAGTAGGCTAATACCAGTACACATTAGGTCAATATTTGTAGGTCAAGTTAATTGAGCATGGTTCTTCACAATCAATGTCTGCTGAATTCTATTAATTAGTGAGATATTTTGGAGGGAGAGGGGATGTCCAGTCACAATATGTTATATCCTTATTAATTAATTAGTAACCCAAAGAAAAGTCTGAGATTAGCCATGTAGGTGACCATACTAATTGACACATAAAATCATAGGATTTGACCATTCATACATCTGATCCAATTCAACATACTATGCTCCAGTTTCCAGATCATGTCAGATCTAATCAATGCATTCAGGTTATTAACTTGCTAAACATGGATACTGTACTACATGTACATACATGCACATATATTCTGTTAGTCTTTCTCACTAATTACATACTGTATAGGAGATCCCAGGTTCAATCCCATTCATTTGGATTTACCTGCTTGGTTTAACTTTATGATTGTTGCAAGACGGCATGTCTGACAAGGAACAACCTCTAGTCCTTCAAATAGGACAAAAAAAACCTGGGGTCCTGTATACACATGTAGTCTGCACATAAATTAATCTGTGACAGTTGGAATTTCCTTGTAGGGTACTGCATGACAGTAGCCCTGTTGGAGCAGAGAAGTAGGACATTAAACCCCATTTCGTTTCTTTCCTTAATTTATATTGAAAATACAAGATGTCATGTGGAAGATTTATGTAGATTTGCATTGCCAATGAAAATGAAATGTTCAGTATTCAGTGATTTATTGAACAGTGTATTTAGAATGTAAAACTGACTATTACTAGTACAGTACATCTAGACTGTCTCCTCTGTATCAATAATTAATGTGACATGTTCTCTCATTAACATTCACTGTATTCAGGTTAATTTATTCACAAGATTAACTGTTGGCTTCAACATAAATAGGTCAACCTGTTTTTTTTGGTTAAAATTTTTAAAAGTTCGTTGACATATTTCCTGATCACATTATCTACGTAAAGATTGTATTAAGAAATTAAAGTAGGCGTACGATAGTAGTGATGCTTTAAATGGCTGTGAATAGGCTAAAACAGTATTATCAATGTTGTCATACTGGTATTGGTCTAGTAGAGATAGCCTCAAGTCATTTACTAACAAAGACATAGAGTGGCATATTGACATCAGCCTCATGAAGATAGCAAGTATTTATGGTAATCATTAAAGAGAAATAGGAGGATTAATATAGAATTATATGATAGGTCATACCACTATAAGACTTTATATACTTTACAAATTATAATATAAATCTATTTATGATGTAGGGTTTGTAATAATAGAAATAAACTGTTTAAATAGATTTACATACATATGTAGTTATATATATTTACAACATGTTTTTTTTGTAAGATTCGGACATGACATAACATGGAAAGACTTTTTTAACTGAACTGATTGTCATAAATACTGTAGGTTTTTTTTAACATAAGTTCCAAGTTCTCTCCAAAGTTCAGGATGTAAAATATTATTTTTATATTAGAATGAGAGAAAATTTTAAAAAATCCTGCAATGATTCTTGTTAATTTTCCTATTTGAATACCTATACATGTACATATCCATTACAAATGTATTTATTGATACTATTAGTAGTTACATTACTCAAATACATGTATATTGTTATTCTCAAAGATCACATTATTCTGTTATTATTATTGAATGAGTTTATCATATCTATTTTTAGAATCTTACTTGGGTAGCCTACATTGTAAAATCAGAATTCACATGGTAAATTGTGAAATCTCAAGTTGATAAATCAATGAGATTGTTGACAAGGATTCTTTTTTAGAATATTTAGACAGTTTAGAAAGGACATGTAACTTCAAATCATGTCATAGTATTTGGGCCCTATATTCTAGCGATACAATTCACAACAAAAACAACTTTTTTTTGTAATATAGTAAATGTAAATAAACTAAAAAGAATGAAATACAATAGAACATTTATTGACTTGGATATTTTGTTATAATTTCCTATTTTTAGCCATTATATTGACTTAGTTTTATCAAGTTGTAGTTATTGACATTTAGACTCATACTTTTATCTTTATTGACGTGACAAATATAATATCCTTTTGTTTCTTTATTTTATCATAAATACCCAAAGATTTTCTTATTTTTCAATGGCCGAGTCTTTTTAATTGTTATTTTATGATTTATCTTTTGTTGTGACAAATTTGGTCAATTCAGCAGTGTTTCTTAGTTTGTTTGTATGCATTACATTTCAGATATTCCAATTAAACAGTTTTCTTTTGATTAAAGTACTTTCCCACAAAAGTATTTGAAGCAAATTTTTGATAGATTTATTAGTCCAAATATATCATCAAATCACCCGGTTTGTACATGGGAAGTTATCTTTAAAAGGAAATAAGAAGATACATGTACATGTATTTTAGATTTGTGAATATGAAAAATTACATCAAATTTATCATCAATGAATATTTAATGTTGTGCTGATGAATAACCAAAGATTTCGGTTGATTACGATTCTTTTTGAATTGTTTTATATGACATTGTGACTGACTCTTTTATTCACTTGATTGTTGCTGGTCAGTTATGTCCCACTAGACTCTAAGACATATTTTGTCTTCTGCCTTTGGAAGCAAGCAGGTGACTATAATAATGGTTTGTACGTCCGTCTGTCTATCACACTTTTTGGAACACAAAAACTCTGCTTCTAATTGAGCTACTTGTAGTTTCCTATAATGATTTGAAATTAATGACACTGTACATGTAGTTGCAATTGATACTTTGAAAGATGTAAGATATGATTAACTGATGTACATGTAAACATGTACTGTATGCTGTTTGTGGTTTTTATTCTATTTTGTAACCTTAACCATGTGTTTAGGCTGAAAGTTCGCCGTATGGCTCCACATATCTCTCACCGCCACCGGATACAAGTTGGCGCAGGTAAGAACTTTTTTTTTCTTAGATTTTTTTTAACCCATTGATCTTATTGAGTTGTTCATGTTTATTCATTAAATTCTCTTTCAGAAATACTTTTAGGCTGGCAGAAATCCACCTGTAATAATAGATGAAAGAAGTTACCGTAAATCATGCATTACCTCCCTTCATTCAGAAAACATGCACATGCATTTCGTATTTTAGTAACAAAATATTTACATTAGATGTAAGGATTACATGTACAATACTGATGTTGAAAATTTCACAAAATGAGGTCAAAATGTGACTCAGTGCCCTGAAACATACTGGTACTCAATGATAATAACCTCGGCTGTGGGCCATCAACTATTGATTGTCTTATTTTTCTTCAGCTTGATACTTGCTTGCTAATATAAAGAATGATCACTTTATTATCTTTATACGTACTCTAGATAAAATAGTTTCCTAGCTTGCTTATATTCTCAATATAGGCGTAAACTCAAACGTATGCTGGTGTGGTGAAATGCGGGTGAAATGACATGTTAATATTTTTTTTAACAATACATGTAGATTTGAACTAATTACAGTGTGAATAGTATTTTACACATATTCGTTGTTCAATATCTAATGTTTATTGGGTTATTGGTTAAAAGAATTTTAATTACATTAACATACATGGATAATATTTTAATCATATATCATGACATATGCAATTATACATGTACAGTATATACCAGTAGTTATTCACCATAAAGTTATATACATGCAGTATATGGTACATCTACTATATAAAATTCTATATTCTTGCTTGCATGACCAATATGCATCAATATTCTTATAGTGAAGTATCTCTTTTCCAGTAAATACGTTCAAAGATGTTCAGTATAAAGACAAACATACATCTACACACTGATCAAATAAACTAATAAAGTGAAATATACTGATAAGCTACATTTGTAGGTTTCAAAATGTGTATTATGTAATTGAATATACATGAAGATCATTGATGGCTTTATATGCCATACATTGAAATGTGGTTGTATATTGCCCCCCCCCCCCCCCCCACCCTCTCCACAGTTTCTTTTGGACATTTTAGATTCAAAAAGTTTTTAAGGATTGACTAGAAATTATTTTCAAAACGGTACAGTTATGAAATGCAGTATCCTGTTTATTTCAATGATTTCCTACAATAACTCTGCAAAGGAGACATTTAATTTCCAAACAGCACTTTCATAGTTATTGTGGACACTGTAACTAATACGGTTATTATTTATGTTAACTCTAGAAAATTTTTTAAAATATTTCCGGATCATGGATTTTTACACAATGTGGTGTCTGCAAATACTGAAGTTTATTGTAACCTATAAAAGAACCATAAAGTGATAACAGTATATGGACTGCTTGGCGATTTGCTGCCATTGGTGTATGTTTCATTGTCTGGAAATATATCCTTATTGTTATCTGGACTGACCTAAGTGATTTATTATTGACAGTTATTAGTGATGGTAGATTTAACTGTGTAATATCTTGACTACAGCAGAATGCGATGTGCTATGTTTATAGTATAACGTACATGTAGATCACAATACAATATACAGAAGTTCCTTTTTCATATATTATATGTACACATTCATATTAATGACCACTGCATTTTATAGTAACCAAAACATGTAATATTACAACAACAAAAAATATTCAATCAAAATTTCTTCTCTTCAATTCACAATAACATAGATGTACAAATATCAACAGATATACATGCATTGCATTTACTGAAAGCTAAACTTGAGTGTAATGTGAATGTAACCCAGGATCACAACAGTGAAAACATTTATGTATAAGAGTTCTCGCTATGATGTGATGTATTTAGTGAATCCCAACATCAGTATTACAACAGTTACATGTAGGTCCAAATTCAAAATACTATCATATTTGTACAAGTACACAAAATCAACAACAGACTTATCCATACATACACTTATCAAGTCTTTTATTTATGCACAACTAACAGCTTTCTAGCACTGCATGCTTTTTAGTTCCAATTTAGCATTATAAGCAATTTTTATCTACAAGTATGCTAGCTTCTTTTAATCAGTAAAATATTAAATGTATTATTATATTTACAGTATTCATTTGATTAAACTAAAACGTTAGATCAATATTGAATTAGTTTTGCATTTGTCTTTATATCCGGTACACACATGTAAGCTATGTACAATGTATAAAAAGTACAAAATTTATGAGTTTGTAGTAGGTACATCTCATTTTTATGCCTAGACTATTTTGTGTTTGTATCAAGTGAATACTGTATAAATTCTAGTAGTTTAGTATTACTATTACTCATCTTTTTCTATAATATTCTACTATAACTAAATTATTCAAAGATGACCATGAACCCACTGATTTTCACTGTCTCAATTAATTTTTTGGCAAAGAGACAGAGTCGAGATCCCTCACAAAAACAAATTTAAATATAATTTGAATTACAATGTATCATGATAGCTACATGTAATATTACCATATCAATCACATACCTAGTTATCTTTCATTAGGGATTTTTATTAACACCAGATCATTTGTGACTTGTGTCATGTTTTGAGTTTGAATCTGACTGGGTTTCATGTTAAGTAATTACAGTACCCAGTTACATGTAGTCACATAAAAACTTGTAATATATAGAAAAAACTTGAAATGTCATTTCTTTCATAGTCCAAAACAATGAATCAAGTCCAGAATCATTCATGACAAGACTTCAAATTGTAGTTCTTTATTAGAGCTGGATGTCTGTCAAGCATGACAACAACAGCTTAACAGTATCACACTAGAGGTAGATATTGTAGTTTTTGCCTTAAAGTGAATGGCAGTTGTTCTTATCCATCACTACAGGATTTAATAGAAACAATTCCATTTCCAAGACTGTGCAATCATTTCTTTCATTACTCATTGTGCAGTGAATAAACATGTTATTGAGATCGCAAACTAAATCAAATATTCTTCCTTCGGGGATCCTTGGCTCCTTGGCATGCATTGGAGCAATGTTAAGTTGTTGGGTTTGGAGACTCAGCTTAAGTCATCTTTTATTTGTGGTCATTGTATTTGTTTGGCTACATGTATATATGTATACTCTAGTTTTCTTAGAAATTTTTTCTTCTTAAATACTTTCTGAAATATGTTGATTATTTTTTTTTACATGTAGCAACATTGAATTAACATTCTGTTATTTTTAGTTGAACTTTGACTTGCTGAAACAAAATAAAAAGTAGAAAATCAACTTATTAATTGGACATTAAATACTGGTAGTCTGATTGATATGAAAAAACTGTTTTCACATTTGTGTTGGCAGAATAAATGTTGTATTGTTGAACATCAGCCATGTTATTTGTTTGCCCACATTGTAAAAGTGCTATACTGCTGTTGACATACAGTCTTCACAATTGCATGTGAGCACATATATCAAATTTATATGCATTGTCTGAATTGGTATGAGGAAGAAACCTTTTGGATTTCTGCAATTTTTGATATTCCTCTTAGAGTTATTACCCATGATCTATTTCTAGGAGCTTTTAACTGCTCTATTATCAAAAGTGAGCATCCCATTTTCTTGGTGGAGACGCCAAACTGCCAAACTAGTATCAGTCTGATTATACCATAGCAATATTATTATGAGAATGTTTCAATTGCAAGAATTTTCACAAACTTGGTAGCTTTATGTGTTTCACAAAACTAACAAATTAACTGGGTGTGCTATTTATTTATTTAAACAGGCATTATGGAAGAGCGAAATCTGCCTATTGTAGGACTTTCTTTGTGCCTTAAATGTTATATAAATTATTATTTAGACATTTATTAACATGACAAGACCATAATGAACTCTTTATGCGATCGGATGGCTCCGATTTTAAGTAGATTAGAACAGTTCAGCCCTTTAAGGATTTAATTTAAAAATGGAGAAGCGAGGCTAAGTCTTAAATGACTAGTATGACGGTTTCGATCAATGCACACATCTTGTCAAAACTACAACCATTGAAAACTTTGCTCGGAGTAATTTAAATGAAATTTTCAATATATTCAATTGGCATTATCAATTTTGGGAAATATTACAGTGAGAACGGCCAGCTCTTTATTTAAATCTTACATAATGCCCCTTTTAAAAAAAAAATGATTCAACATACCTATTGAAATTCATTTTATGTCTACTTATTTTGAATCAGCAAGTCAACAATGTATGATAATTTTAGTTTGTAGTATTTAGTTGATTCTTTTAAAGTAAATTACAACACAGAAATAGTCTTAAATTATCACTGCTACGACTGCATTGAATATTAACTTGGACAATATAGCACCCATTGTGTACATGTACATTTAATTATAACTGCTTTGAAATGCGGTCTCAATCCATCAGAAACAATACATTTTGCATACTGTAAAATATTGCAATCTCTGTATACACAGTGAACCCTATATTTGTCCAGAATATTTATATTTGTTGTCAAAGCGTATACAATTTTGGACTGGAGCAATCAAGACTAAGATGCAATCGACTATATTATTGCTCAAGTGTTTTATAACATTAATTAAAGTTGAAACATATTTACAGAGCTTATTCCAGAGCAATCAATAATTTAGCATTTGCATTTTAAAAGCGGGGCTTCAAATTAGTTTTGAAATAGAGTTTCTGTAATTTACTTTTTCATTTTAATTTGATTTTGCTCCTTTAGCTTGCATTTTATTTTTTCCACCTTTTTTTTTTGTTTTTTCTCTTCATTGCCTGCTGTTATTACCATTTTCCAGGAATTACCCGTATCTTAACGGTGCCACACTCTCACGGTGAGTTAATTAAACATCCCTCCACCCTACTGCTTGATTTACTCCCCAACACCCCATTAATAATATAACGAACTAACATAAAGACACAATACAACACAACTTTTACATTGAATTGGTTGAATTTCATCATGGTTTTGCTTGGTTTCGGGTTTTTAAAACTAGAACTTTGATGTACGTGTGTCAACAGCATTTTTTGTTATTTTAATTGGTTTTCGGGTGTTTGTAGAGGCGAACTCTGTAGAATACGTGTGTGGGTAACTGGTGAAAATAGGTAAAGCACGAGGAAGAATACTGTAATTCTGTTTTTGTTTCAAAGTAAAAAAAGTCAATTATAGAGACTGATTCAAGCATAGTTTACAGAATTAATGGTGTATTGAGTTGCAGATTAACAAAATAGAATAAAACACTGTGGTTGCATACATGTATAAAGAATAAATGCATGTACATGTATTGTTGTTCCCATTTACCAGGACAGATTTCAGAGGTAGAAAAGCATGTGTTACAGATAATGTCAATTGAAACAAAAGAAACTCCCCAAAACAAACATGTCAGCATGCATAGAGAATTAATTAGATTATAGTATAAATATAAGCCAGATCATCATAAATGTAGCAGTGTCCTGACGGGAACACAGCATGTAATTATAATATAAAACAAGAAAAATTCTATTACTTGGTTTTAAAAGACTCACACGGTTGGACAAGGGCCCATACGGTTGCTGTCTGACATTGCTTAAACATTTTTATACGCTCACATGGAAATGTGGTCGTATTTGCCGTCACCCCTGTCCGTTGGTCCGTCCGGCGTCCACAATTTTTTGTGAACACTCTGCAGACTAAATTTATAATCTGATAGTTTTGAAATTTATATATATGAGATGAAGAGGCCGGTTTAATTTCAGTAATGTCTGTTAATTTCTTCTGGAGTTATGGCTCTTGTTTCACTTTGTTGCACCTTGTGAATGCTCAAAGAACAAAAGTTATGATACGATCTGTATGAAATTTATATGCATCATTTAAATTAGTGAAACGAAGACATCTATAGAATTTCAGCAATTTCTATCAACTAATTTGAGAGTTATGGCCATTGTTTTACTTTGTTGAACCTAGTGAACGTTTGAATGACAAAAGTTATTGTCTGATGCGTATGAAATGTATATGCATTATTCAAATTAGTGAAATAAAAAAGCCAGTTGAATTTCAACAATTACTGTACATTACTTCCAGAGTTAAGAATCTTCTTTCAGTTTGTAGAACCTTGTGAGCCCTTAAATGACGAAAATTATAATCTCATCTGTTTGAAATTGTCTTGTAAATGCCCCCAATTACCTACAAAAGAATTAATATGCATCGATTTAGCTGCTGTGGGCGTATGTTTCATTGCCTGGCTACATATATTTAAGAAATTGAAAACTTACCCTGTAATGACCCTGTTAGATTTATTGATTGGAAGAATTATTGGTTGGAAGAATTCTTCCCAACTGAAACTTTTAAGTAAATGAACAGAATTTTATATATTAATTATATTGTTAAAATTATGGTGATATTATTTTTATTCGGATTTGTTCATATGGACAGTTTGTCATGATAATCCAATCTTCCAAGCTCCACAATGGCTCATATTTGAACTTTTTCTGCTACAGTTAGACAACTTGCATCATTAAAATTCTTAGAAATAATATTCTAAAATGCAACATTTTTAATTTATTTTTTCCTACTTGTTGCGGCACAGATATTTCATCTAGGTTTAAAACTCTATTTGAACATTGCATTAGACTATTGTATACTGGAAGTTTGTCGACTCGTTTGGTGAGACTGATGGAAAAGCAATTAACACACGATCTATGCATAATGATTAAATATTTCCAACACCATAACGATAGACTGCTTTGTTTTATTTGTGTTTAACATAATCGTTGTGGCGTGCAAATTAATCCTATAATAAAATTTGTAAAGCAATGTAGAACAAAGCTAATGGATGTGGGTGTAATTATAGCTGATAGATGTAATGTACATATAAATTTCTACTAACTGGTTTTGGTAGTTATCAGTTTTAAATATTTCATGTCACTTAGTATGGTATTAATAATACTAGAAAAATCAATGTTAAGGGTGTTGAGTACTCTAAAATGCGCACTTTAAAGCTAGCACTTTAAGTTTTGTTCATTAGATATGACATGTTTTGTTATTTGGGGTGATAAACTACATATTAATCACCAAAAGAATACCAATTTTATTTACCGTGTTCCAAACTTGGCTCAAAAGCACGATAATAAAGTTTGCTGATGCTCTAGATGCTAAAGTTAATATCTGATTGACTTAAAATTTATACACAGTGTTTAAGGTCATGAGATGAAGACGCCTATCGATTTGCAGCGATTTCCGAGTTATGGCTCTTGAAAAATCTAGTGGATGCTCTGGAGGTTAAAGTTAATATCCGATTGACTTTAAATTTATACGCATTGTTTAAGGTCATGAGACAAAGAAGCCTATTGATTTTCGGCGATTTCCGATAGTTACTGCCAGAGTTATGGCTTTTGATCTCTTTGAAATATCTTGTTGACGCTCTAGAGGCTAAAGTTAATATATGATTGACTTCAAATTTGTACTCAGTGTTGGGTCATGAGACACAGAATCCTATTGATTTTCAACGATTTCGGATAATTACTGCCAGAGTTGTGTCCCTTGATCGCTTTGAAATATATTGTGGATACTCTATGAGGCTAAAGTTAATATCCGATTGACCTTAAATTAATACACACTGTTTAAGGTCATGAGATGTAGAAGCCTATTGATTTTCATTTATTTCCGATTATTACTGCCAGAGTTATGGCCCTTGACTTCTTTGAAAAATCTTTAGAACCTCTAGAGGCTAAAGTTAATATCCGATTGACTTGAAACTTATACACAGTGTGTAAGGTCATATAACAAAAAATCCTGTTCATTTTCAGCAATTTCCGATAATTAATTGTTTAAGGTCATGAGACAAACAATCAAAACAAATTCTAATGTTTTCTGATAATTACTTCATGGGTTATTACTTGTAATCAGATTTTCATGTGTTGTAAATGTTATCATTACTGACAAAAGCAAAAATATGCGACAACACTTGTTGACTGCTCGGATGACTTAACTGCTGTGGACGTATGTTTTGTTGCCTGGCAACCCATCTTTTTCTTTTCGCTTGTATCTCCATCATTACACAACATATGGTTGGACTGTTATGTGTCCTCTGGGTTATTTTACACATGGAACAAGTATGGAAAGTCTTAATAAGATTGGTGCTGAAAAGTTAGTGTATATCATAGACTACTCAATACCTTTATATCCAGAATAATATATACCACAGGGTACATTTAATTTAAAATTTAGGATTGTTATTATTGTCACAAAGAATTGCAATTAAATGTGTACAGGAAAAACTTAACGACAAATAGATGTAATAGTTCGGCTGACAATCCCCAGTTCTAACCTTGACGTGGAAATACAGTCCACCTAATGTTTTTTGGATGGATTATATATTTTAAATATTCCATGAAAAAAACGAATTTCCATGTCAAAGTTTGAATTGGGGTTTGGCTGCCGTGCTATTTTTAATGGCTGTGAAAACAGTTGCATGATTAGATTTGAGTTGAATTCATGCAAAGTTAAAACCAATAGTTGAATTATTTGTACCTTTCTTTAAATTGGTGCTTAACTCTAGTGCTTTGAATAAGTAACATTGGTAAGATTTGGTGTTTGGTGATCTTCGAAAAACCTAATGATAATTAAATATATAGTTGTCGTTTTACAGACACTTCTTTGAATTAATTCATAAATTGTAACAATTCTAAAAATAACCAGCTGTTTATTTTAAAACTGTCTTTAAGTTGAATGAACCACCTTTTCTTAGATAAGTATATGACTAGATGTTGCTATAGCAAAAATGCTACGTATATGATTTTCTTATAAAAAATTCCACTTATCCTGTAAACACTATCTTGATTTCTTTTATAATGAAATGATGATATAGCGTACACTATTAATCTGCTGGCAGATACTGTATTTTGTAAAGACTCAATTTTTATGTTGTTGCCCCCCCCCCCTTTCGAAGAAAGCAGGCAACTATTAAAATGAGTCTCTCCAACTGTCTGTCAATCACACTTTTTGGAACACAGTAACTCTGCTTCTAATTGAGCTAGAATTTTCAAACTCAGTGTAGGTATTTATTAGTTGCATGCGTTGATGATGAGCATTTTCTACTAAGGTAAACAGAAATACGCAATTTGATTGGTCGATGCTTTGGAACACGATAACTGTTTTTCGATAATGCACATTTTCTAAAGTTCCATTACCTTGACTAAGTTCAATAATCAATATTTTCTGCATCAATTATTTGGATCATGTGCAATTTGATTTGGCGAGACTTTGGGGCTCAACAACTTTGATTCTAATTGAGTGACAATGGTGAAACCTGGCGTATATCATTCACTTTGGCGTGGGATACAAGCCTCACTGTTGGCTTGTGATCTTTATATTCCTTCACTTGTATATGTTTGGTTTTGATTTACATGTAAGTATGTGTAAATAAAATATGTGTTATGATTATGTGTTATAAAAATGTGTTATAATTATGAAATGCTTGAATTTGATTGTAGGTACAGTAAAAAAGACCTATCAGCTATGTGTTTTAGCTGCACAAACCCTTGGAATTATTAATTATTCTGATATTTAAACTCTCATACTTATCTCAAACATATGAAATATTATTATTTCAGGACAAACTCTGATTCTGCTTTACATACAAGTGCAATGGTCTATCCTAATCAAGAATTTGGTCAAACTACACCTCCTACGCATCGAAGAAGTATGACTTTTATTTTAATTTTCTTAATGTCAATGATAGTCAAATGGATTAGTTTCAGGGCTTCTAGCACAGGATACCAATACTTAAATTTTCTCACTGATAAAACATGATAATTCAAACATGATGAATTACCACCTATTCCAAAACTGTGTAATTGCTAATTTCATCAGTGTATTAATCTTGTCCTTCAAATAATGAATACATTATTTTCAGTAGCAGAAATGGTTGAAAATTCAATGCCAGACATGCAGAGAGGTTATTGGGATCCTAAAAAGGTGGGTATCATTTACGGATTGGTAAATATTGAATTAATCAAAACTTAGATATCAGAAGGGATCAAATGAAGTTTCTAATTATTAATCTTAGATGTAACTGTAGGAGGACCACACTACACACAAGCGAAATCATTAATACAAACCTGCAGGCAAGATAAACTACACAGACATTGCAAGAAATAAAAACAACAAATATCAAATCAAATGTTTTTAATTTCTTGGGTAATAATTTTAATAATATATCAATCAATGCATTCAGTATATCCTAATACAGTATGATGATATTTTGTTTTAGCTTGCACAGTCCAGACCAAAGTCCTGTGAGGTACCAAACATTAAGTAAGTTATTTCTTTTTGTCTAATTTATTTATTTGATCAGCATGTATAATAAGCATCTCCTCTGTATGTAAATGTACACCCACTTAGAGAGGTTGTACCAGGAGAGTGCAGCATTCATTTCAAACTACTATTAAAAGCAAACTTCGCTTAACTATTTTAACCTTGTTGGTTAGAGTTAACTACACATGCTCAGGGGTCACATACCCTCATTTTGTCAATAAGATAACTGTGCATGTCCAAAGCCCAGTGAAGCCTATTGTTTTAGACTGACTCGACCAAGATAAACCAACTTAAAAAGACTTTCTCAAAGATGGCTAGCGAGCTTAGGATTGAAACTGGTGTGTTTGCCCCACGATCACCTGCATTGTTACGCCAGTTGAAATCGGATTTCAGCCGTATGAACAGCATATTTGTCGGATATTCATCGATGACATAGTTATATGTAGTTTTATATGATTCTCAGTTCTACTTAATATAATATAATCAGCTTGGTCGATAAGAACTTTTAGAGGCTTTAAGATAAAGTGTTGATCTGTAATACTCTGGGTAGCTAATCACATATTCCTAGGTTTCTATGCATATTCTGTCCATTAAGAACAGTGTAAACATATATCAATGTACATGCATACAAAAAAAAATATTTAATCTCAAAAATACAGTGATCATAGGATTTAGTTATATAATCTGACATCAGACCATGAGAAAAAAAAGTCAGATATCTTATGATTGATTGACTGAGGTTTTAATTCTGCTTCCACAAAGACTGATGGGTCTATGTAGATGAATTGAATGTTTTGAAATAAATTCGTCTTAAAATAAAAAATTACATATTCACCAGCAATGTATACAGTTAGATATGCTCAGACATCTAATCCGATGTTTGGAATAATTTGTCAGATATGCTGTCCAAAGATAATCTAAATATTTGTGTATGAGTTACAGTAAGTAATATAATGTTCATTCCCTAATCTATTTATATATTTCAGTATCTACCCATCCCAAGATCAAGATTCTGGTATTCATATCCCCATCTCTAACAACACTGGATCTCTTCCTGATCTAACAGTTCTTCATTTTCCTTCACCAATGGTAACTCCATTAGATGTAGACGAACAACAACAACAACAACAACAACATTATGGTAATCAAGGCAACAGTCCAACTAGTTTGTCTCCGACAAGTCCACAGTATAATAACATGAGTGGTCAAATGACACACACAACCCAACAAAGCCCTGGACCACGGCGACGCCCAGCTCAAGGAGTACCCAGCCCTCTAGTTCTGAACAATGGAAATCACATGTCAATGCCCCTCTCACCTCCTGTAAGTCATGTTTGGAATTTTTTACTTAGAATGATTTGATATTTTTGAAAATTAGAATAGATATACTCGTATAACGTGTGTCCAAAAAATAAAATGCTTTTTGCCTCAATTGTTCAAATGTAGATAACCCATTAAATGCAACTTGTAAATCAACACAGATAATAGTTCAAAATTTGAATAACTAACAGTCATCACATGTTATTAGTTGCATGATCATTGTTATAGCACTGAAAGTGAAAGCTGTTAAATCAAGCAACAGATAAACCCAATTTTTTGTTGCCGGTAAAATTAGATAAATCACTCTTCATTGATGACCTTTCCAACATACATTGATAATTATATTCTTTTGTTAGTAAACATAACGGAACTTGTCTGACAGCTGCACTAGGCAAACATCATGGACCGACAAAAACTTAAGGCCTAACTTACTATTGACAAATCAGATAAAAATTTATGTTTTATGTATTTGTAAAATTAGCATTTGTGAAACTTTGATGTTTGCCTAGTCTATGTGCTGTATTAGTTAGTGCTCATTGTTTTAAAGATTCTAATAGCTTAATACAGTGTGGGGTCAACATGTATTATGGTATTTTGAATGTTTTGTGAGGAAGCTTTACATCTAATTGTATGCTGCATGATTTATTCATATTTTCGATACTACTCAGCTAAATAATGCTATATTTTTAATGATAAAAGGGTATGAAAATGTGAAAGGTCTCAATGGACATGGTAGTTTCATCAACCCTATTTTTTTTTGTGAAGTTTTGTTGTTTTTAGTTTATTTTTGTGCTTTTTGTATTCTTGTTTTCTGATTGGTTTGTTGGTTGTAGGCAGGAAGCGTGGATCCAAGTAAATTAACACCAGAAGCCCGAATGCGACAACAGTATATGAACATGTATCGACATCGGACCCCTGGGTCCCAAACTACACATCCCCGACATCATACACCAACTCGCATTTTACACAATCATCACAGGTCACAGCATCCGCATAAAACAACAACACAACCCACCACTCCACCTAATGTTCCCAGAGTTCAAATTACTAGCTGTGATCAACAAGACCAATCACAGGTCAGTATTGGGTGTAGGAATACAAAGCGATTGTTTTCTGATCTGAAAAGAGTTCCTCAGATACTTATAAAAATGATTTATTGGGATATACATGTTCACTGTTAATGAATGTAATTTTTTTTATTAATTTGACATCTAATTTTGCTTATAATTTTTTTTTCCTCCTCCCCACTTAGTTTTGTTAATATTGTAGCTATGCATGTTAATAGATTGTTGTTTAAATGGACTTAATGAATTGTTCATTTATACATGTATCATTGAATTAACGAACAAGGAACATATGTATTTTCATTCAGATAACAAGTGCTCATAAAATGGAAAATAACTTTCACAAATTACATTAAGCTGAGGATAAATATTATGCCCAAAGTCTATTATGTTCATATATAGCCCAAAATGTGTATTTTTTTTAACTTTGAACAGAGAAAAGTAAGATCAAGGTTGTGACCTGGACATAGAACCTCCTTCACATTATGGGTGATTTCATTAGCCAGAAGTGCTTGATTTTCTGTCAACTGGTTGTGATACTGACTACTCACTATCAAGCATTATCAAGTGTCGATATCGCGAATTAGTGAGTAATGATATACAGAATGTCCTGGTCATGACCTTTGATCCCAGCTTTCTCTGCTTAAACCTTGGAATTTTATCATCACCAAGTAGTATTTATGTGGTTGAAATGGTTTTGTTAGAAAGTACAATGCTTTCAGAAAAATGAAATGGGGTTTAAAATTGATTCTGCAGTGATCTTAGAGAACATTAAAGTAAATTTATTTTGGCCAAAATTAAAGAGAAAGGGGATTTTATATATCAAACTTGTTTCCTACCTTTAGTAATTATTGACTTAAGAGCAGTTATTCGTCCCTGAAGTTGATTTTCGCACTTATATGAATTGTATAGACTTTAGGCATAATACTTGGCCTCAGCTTAATGTTATTTTTGAAAGAGATTTTCCATTTTACAAGCGCCTGTGATTAGTATGGAGACAGAAATGCAAGGTTCCATGTAGAAATGGGTGGTGCACATATAATATGCCTTAGCTACTGTGCAGCAGGAATTCTCTCCTTATAATCTAGAAAATTAGAAATACGTGTACAATGTTATTTTTTTAGTCCTAAAATGTAAAAGCTGTTGGATGAGACCGGCACAATTACAATGTGGTTCGAAAAGCATGTCTAAAATGGGTCATAAAACAAAACCATTGATACTGAACTTGTTCACTGATTTGGATTAAAAAATCATACAATAGAGCCCATGAAGTTTGCATTCATTATTTCAAATGTGAAACAACTTAATCCTGTTTGGTTTCAAATTTTCTAAAATGAAAGAAATTACATTTGAAAATCAAGATAATTCAACACTCATATTAAGTTGTCTTATATCTTGTTAATAATAAATACAAACCTTCAACCATAAAAATCTAAACCCAATCACAATAGAATAAGATTTTGTTTTATTGAAAAAGGATGCATGAACAATATTTTAATTGAATATTTTGAATTGAAATCATACCTTGATCAATGTTTTAATGTATTTTGTTTTCAGCCATCAATGACTCAATATAGAAATAGTGTAGACGGTGGATGTCAATCCCCCACATCACCTTTATCTCAGCCATCTTACTCACCAGCTCAATCTCCAGGCCTGCCACCAGTCTCCACGGCTAATAATTCTCCGTTTGCTGAGGCTTATTATATTCAACAACAACAACAAACAAATGCTCTACAACATCAGTTTGAACACTTCAATATGGTAAGAATAGATGTAAGCAATCCCAATAACCTGTCTTTGTTTTTTTATTTGTTTGATAGTATGACTGAAGGTAGAATGAATAGTTGTGAATTGTGATTAGTCTTGATTTTCATCTCCATGTCACCCCAACCCCAACCCACCCCCGTCCCGAAAAAGAAAAGAGTAAACATGCCTGTGCTCAAATATGATTGCATATGGCTTGTCCTATTACTAAGCACCTGCTCCTCAAAAATTTAAACAAACCTGTTCTCAAAATTAGTCAACCCAATTAAAAACTTATCAAGAAATCTTGCTTCCTGTTTGTTGATAGAATAGTTGCATGATTGTGTGTAGTATTATTTACAGCGGTATGTAGCCTACTGCCTAGTTAAGTATCTTTCAATTTGGTGGTTCTAAAAAAGTACATGGTCAAGCGATGCTTGAAATTCGTGGAACTATACATTTCTAATCTGATTAAAATACAGATCTATATTTCGTTTCATTTTTTTATACTTTCGATGGCCTTCACTACATGAAGATCTGACCGGTTGTAGTGGGAGGTTGCATCGTGTCATATGGACGCCTTTTGACCCTATGACGTCAGGCATTTGATTAACCAATCAGTGTTGATGTTTCTAGTGGGTATTTGGAAATATAACTTTCGCTTTGTCTTTGCTGCGAGTGTCTACCCACAGTTCCGTGCACCGCATACCAAGAACTTGATACAGCAAACCGTTTCATTGGCTAATCCCTCACATCCACCAGAATGCGGGTTATATAACAACTCATCCAGATCCTAGTCTAGTGAATGCAAGTAAAACGGAATTTTGAACTATAAAAGAACCGAAATGAAATAGGATTTGTGTTTTAATCAGATTGATACATTTCTAGATCAGTGTTAATTTACACATCTGGTATGGTGTTTTAATCACGACTAATCAAATGTATGTGTTATGTTTGTGTGTATATATATATATATATATATATATATATATATATATATATATATATATATATATATATATATATATGTTTAATACCTTATATAACTTACCTATAGCTGTTTTAATAAATTTGAAATTATCTGTTTAAAAAAATAGTACATTTGATATCTGTAAATACTTTCAATATATCCAAGTGCAATATAGATAGATGAATATGAAATAAATGGGGTGTAATGTCGTACATAGATACATATACCAAGTTCTAAGATATTTTTAAAAGATGTAAATAGCATTGAAACTTTGAAAGTCAGGCATAGATTTGTTTATAACTAAGTAAACTAGATATATACTAGTAAATATGTTAGACTTATTTCATTTCTCTTTTATTTTTACAGTCACATGATATTCCTAATTCTACAATGGTTTCATCTCCCACATCGTCATTAGCTAATAATAGTATGGCTATAAACACTTCCTTGGCTTATACGCAAGCCTGTTCACAAGCTCTCATAGGCAGCAGTTCCGATTTTCATCAGAGATACTTCCAACAGCTTGAGTCCAGCATGTGCCCTTCAACATTTCTGACCACTTCTTCTCATTCACCTCACAGTCAGTCCCTATCAAGCATCTCACAGCATCTCTCTCAAAGTAATCAAATACCAGACATAGTGCTCACTGGTAAGTAACACATTATTAAACGTTTCTTGAAATAATATGAAATAAATTGGGGTATGATGTCTTACTTTTCTGCACTGACTGGGCCATTCTGCAAACAGTGATCCATCTACTTCGTAACTTGAGAATAGATCTCTGCCCTAAATGGCCACCATATCCAAAAATGAGTACACTGTTTTGAAATGTGGGTCTGCTCCATTTCACATCTGTTATACACACAAAGACTAAATAAACTTTTTCAGTTTTATTAAATGGAAGCAGAATAACCATGTTACAAAATTTTCGAAGTATAATTAGTGTTTTTGACTAAAATCATCGATTTAGGACTCAAATTGTTGGTCAAATAACTTAGTGTCGGTTCTCAAGCGGAGCTAACTGCAAACAGACAGGCTAATTTTAATATGTGACTGGGCTTATGAAGAGGGGCATATGCCATATAGTTGCTATGAGGGAATTTCAAATAGGGTTCTTTTATGTGCACGCCATCTGAATGACAAGACACTGTTTTCACCAGAGCCCCTCGTCCTGCACTGGGAGCGAACCATAGAGCTCCTGCTAACAAGCCAGCATCTCAACCCACTGAACCACTATAAAGTGTTTTTTCAAAATCTTAGAATAAAATTGATATACTGGTTAATACCTTCCTAGAAGATGTGGTGTTCAAACTTTAGTTTTATCATTCCCTCTGTTATAGAGACCAGAATTATTTTTTGCAAGAGCAATTACATGTAGTAAGGTGTCGTTTTTGTATGCAGTTAATATTCTATGGGTCAATAAAAAATCTTTTAATTTTTACCTACATGTAGTTCAAATTCAAATAAATTCTTAACTATTCATCTGCCATAAATTTTCTTTAACACTTATGTGGATACAAGGGGTATTTCGGGACCCCATGACCATATCCTTAACATTTGTGGGAAACTGGTACATAATTGTCTAGCGAGAATTTTATATACATTGTCAGCTACTTAACCTCGGGTATAATGCTGCAAATAGAATGCAAGTGCCTAATATGTTCTGTGCTCAGTGCAAGCTTTGTATTTGGAATCTTTCTTACTGATGATATTGTGTTGATAATTCTAGTATTGTAGATCTAAAAATAAATCTAGGTTCTCTACCAACCCCATCAAAAGTCGATTCTACATGGAAATGACAATAATGTTATTTGCAGATTTTGACGGTTTCAAAAATACCTTGTAATTCATATCTTCACTGTTAATACCACAAATAATTTGTTTTACTTTGATTGATTATTAGTCTGTCTTTATGAAGCTCTAGTTTAATCGCATTTGAATAAAATTATATATCCAAATACCTACATGTATTTATGTCTTGGGTCTTAGATTACCCCTGGTGCCGAGAAGATTTTTCGTGAGACATTTCCGCACAAGGGTTAAGCTATTTAGTATCCTTTGGTACAAAGAACAAGTGATGCCATAATTTGTATGATAATATATGTAACCTAATAGTTTCTGAGTAAAAGAAATAATTGGACCAATAACCAACTATTCTGTGGCATGGTTTTGGTTTTACAAAATTGACCAGTTGGATCTGGTATGTGTGTCATTGTATATCTTTGTAGACTAGTTAAAATGGCACAGACTATAGTAACAATTAATTGGAACTTGCTTAAATTTATTTTTCAGGTGCTGACGATATTCTTGGTCGGCCAAATCATGATTTTGCCAAAGATCTTGGAAACGCAATCATTGGAATGACAGATGGTTTTGATACAGACTTTTTCTCAACTGATGAAGCTTTCAAAGCTGGGTTGGATCCGTTGGATCTTGATGGATTACAGATGCTGACTGATCCAAGTATGGTGACTGACCCAGCGACTGAGGACACTTTTAAATTGGATCGTTTATAGACTTGCTATAATATGAATGGTCTATCTTTATCAACGGAGGAATAATATCTACCCATCTAGCAGCTAGTAATGATCATTTAATGATTTGAGAGAGTTAAAACTAGAAAGCTGTAAATTGACCCAGTCAGATGTATTTTATCACATCTTTTTCTCATGGAATTCAGGTTTATGTGCTTAAAAACAGAGATTGAAAAAAGATAAATTTGCTGAACCAGACTCATTTCAATTGGATTCCTTTTGGTGTTGATCTGTTTGATTTAACAGAAGTCATTATTTAGACTATTGAATGAAAGTGTGAAATTAACACGGAATGTTCGCTCATATTTCAGCATTTTTCATGTCCTTCAGCTGACTGATCCTAGATCAGGCTTTAGTGCTATAATATAGACCACAGCATCGTATTGTCAATTTGTTTATAGAACGTTATCCTTTGACATTCCATAACATTGATTTCATCATATGGCCATCTGGTTGGATGGTTTTGGTTACCATGGTGATAAGGGGAGAGAACCTCATATACAGAGGCGTAAAGACTTATTTTTACAATCACTTTACAATGTAAATTGTTCTATGGAGATTTCATAATATCTTGATATCTCTAATATACCGGTAGTCATATTAGATGTCACTTTTCACACAATCAATGGTCATTTCCATTTCATTGGTATCTTTTTTTTTTTAAAAAGAATTCAAGTCTTAATAGTTAAAACATGAAGAATAATTAGTTGACGCTATCAATGTGTACAATGTACATGTTCGTTATCCATCGTTATATGAAGACTTGGAAATTTACTGGTTACAGAATGGATGTCTGTATGTGTTGTTATGTTGTCATAATGTGTTTGTTGTTACCAAATTGTATGAAAGATACAAGTGCATATATTAGATTATATATATATAATTATTAATATGAAAGAGAGTCTAGTTTATTGTTATTTCATTCATTTTATTTTTATGATATTTAACATTTAACCCGGTTAAAGAAATAAAACGATATTAACGCACAAATTATATTTGCCTTTTTCCCAAAATTAAAAGTACTGGTTCTTTTTGATAGCCATGATCACCATATTTTCTTTTTTGTCTTCTGCACTAATAGTATTTTAAGAGACTTATTCCATTTCATCATTAGATTAAAGGAATCTCTTTTTTTTTCTTTTTATTGTCATGGACAGTAATATATGTCAATTGGCATAATTAGTTCCTTTTAAATTAATCAAATAAATAACCGAGCAGAGACAAAGGTATCCTGAGCAATACAAATTTAGTTTTTATACGCCCACATTGAAATGTGGTCGTATATTGTCGTCGCCCCCGTCCGTCCGTCTGTCCGTCCGCCCGGCGTCCACAAGAGACAAAGGTATCCTGAGCAATACAAATTTAGTTTTTATACGCCCACATTGAAATGTGGTCGTATATTGTCGTCGCCCCCGTCCGTCCGTCCGTCTGTCCGTCCGCCCAGCGTCCACAATTGCTTGTGGACGCTCTAGAGGCTAAAGTTAATATCTGATTGACTTTAAATTTATACACAGTGTTTAAGGTCTTGAGATGAAGAAGCCTATCGATTTGCAGCGATTTCCGAGTCATGGCTCTTGAAAAATCTAGTGGATGCTCTAGAAGTTAAAGTTAATATCCGATTGACTTTAAATTTATACGCACTGTTTAAGGTCATGAGACTTTGAAAAATCTTGTGGATGCTCTAGAGGCCAAAGTTAATATCCGATTGACTTTCAATTTATACACAGCGTTTAAGGTCATGAGACGAAGAAGCCTATTGATTTTCAGCGGTTTCAGATAATTACTGCCAGAGTTATGGCCCTTGATCACTTCAAAGAATCTTGTGGATGCTCTAGAGGCTAAAATTAATATCCGATTGAGTTTAAATTTATACACAGTGTTTGAGGTCATGAGACGAAGATTCCTATTGATTTTCAATGATTTCCGATAATTACTGCCAAAGTTATGGCCCTTGATCACTTTGCAAAATCTTGTGATGCGCTAAAGGCTAAAGTTATAATCCGATTGATACACAGAGTTTAAGATCTTGAGACGAACAAGTATATTGATTTTCAATGAATTTTTATGACTTAAACAGTTAAATCCATGATATTAAAAGCTTTGCATACAAAACGTTAGCATGGGCCAGAACTTTATAAAAACCAAACAAGTTCTAATAGTTTTCTGATAATTACTTCGTGAGTTGTTGCTCTTAATCAGATTTTAGTGTATTATAAATGTTTCATTACCGAAAAAAGTAAAAATATGAGACAACCCTTGTTGACTGCCCGGACGATTTAGATGCTGTGGGCGTATGTTTCATTGCCTGGCAACCTATCTTTAAATCAGGTAAAATTGCGAAGAAAAATGATACATTGAGTGCATGATTGAACCATGATTATTATATATTGGTTTTAGGTTCATGAATATATATATATATATATATACCGGTACTTACACTTATGATGCTAGTGTGTAAGAATTCTACATATCATGATATATTCTGGACAAATGTAATAACTCGATGATGTCTTGGCTTGAGGTCTGTACCGTAGATTAATATTTAAAAGGATTATAATATAAGGTGAGGTGTGTTGTTTAAATGTGCGATATATGTATATATGCGTAGTATGTATGGTGGAGAATAATAATCTTCACAAGTCAGCTGATCAATGCCTGCCTAATAGTTTACATTATTATTCTACAGTTATATTGTTACGTGATCTTTTGAAAGCTGCTGATTACCATATAAGGAATTTTTATCCCTTGCAAACTACAATATTATGAGTGTAGAATCTTTGAAAGACGCATCAGTCACCAAATGGTTCAGTTCCTTTCAGTATTTACAAAAATATGATGAATTGAAAATTTCACAAAACCCGAAAACCTCTGCATGAAATATTTTTTATTCTACATTACCTGTAAGTGGTAAAATCTTTTAATGGGCTCTATTTTAATCCAATTGAATCCATGCCGAAAGATTGTCTACCATTGATATTTTTGTATTGTTTTTGTAAACAATTTAATGATCAATCTGAGTACATATCAGTGTGGAGTAAACCATGAAATATTAGATATTGTCTGAAAAATTGTAAATGATGATCAGTAGCTTGAATATTGATAGTTTTGTTATTAATAATGATATAATAGATGTAACTACTACATTATCAGTATTTCATACACAAATCAAAATATCAGAGCTAATTTTAATGGCATTTATGGTATTTCATACACAAATCAAAATATCAGAGCTAATTTTAATGGCATTTATGGTGACTGTGGGTTAACAAGTCGTGGAATAATATTGTAATCTGTTTGTATGGAATTGATAAAAATTACCTGGTGATTTACTTGTAACTGTTATGACTGTGCTTTACATATTTATTTATTATGATAGTCATGGTGAAACAGCTATCGTTGTATTGGTGTGAAAGTTTGTATAGTATTGAAGTTTAATCTGGACATTTCAGTGGACATTCTTTTAAATTTTTCTAAGAGACCTTTTAATGCAGAAAGGTTAATGATTGGTTTGAAACGCTTATCTATTATAACTTTAAAAAACGGAACTGTGTGGATTTACAATAACCTGTATTCCAATTTATTATTTTGAAATTTGACTGTTAAAACTTGACGGTAAATTTATACAAAATGACATGAAATGTCATGTCAGCACCATCACCCTGATGCATTTATTGGTCTCTGTATCATGTCAGAGAGTTGTAGGTAAATGATCAGTCATTTGAGCTTGGATGTTACAGACATTGACTTGCTGTCATGACTTAAAATAATATTAATGTTTGTAAAAAAAATAGAATATTTATTTAATATATTGATGAAAATTTTTAACTAAAATAATATATCACCATATTGTTTTCCTATCTGAGTGTCTAATTCTTAAATCAATCTTCTTCATATTCTACTATAACGGTATGTGAATGATTATTGGCATGTAAATAAGATGTAGTGAGTTTCACTACCCCATTGACCACTTAAATAGGCATATGCAAGAGCTAAATCTGCCTATTGCAGGTCTTTCTTTAGGCCTGAAATGTTATATAAATCATTAATTAATTATCATGACGATAATCAACTCTTTATGCCATCGGATGGCTGCGATACAACTAGATTTAAATATGTTTTGTGGTCGATGTGGTTATCGTAAAAATTGATAATCAAGACTTTGTTTATTGTCGTAACAACGGTAGTTATGACAATCGAGGCTAGACGATAATTGTATCGCCAATATCTGGGCTCAGAGTGAAGTAATTTTACTGAAATTTTCAGCATATTCTTTTTTCATTACCATTTTTTTTTTAACTATTATAGCGAGAACTGTCAGCTCTTTATCTAATCTTATCTAATGCTGCTTTAAGTAATAAGAGAGAATGCATATCAATTGTAAAGTTTTTTATTTCTAACTCCAGGCTAAGGTGCTGTTTGAACGTTGGTAGATTCATTACTAGATGACATTAGTACTCTGCCAATAGATGTAGGATAGGTTGTTATATGGAAGTTTTCATAGTACAATGCAGTAATGCAATTTATATGGATGAAGCCATATTTCTGTTTTAAGCATATTGGGTGTAAGGTTTGAGACAAGCTCTCCTAGATCTTTGTCTACTGAACAGCTTGCCAATTGGAATTTGATTTTATTAATAAAAATAGACTTACTACCTGTGCATGGAACAGGAAATGATTAGTATGTTCATTATTACAGATAAAATTTTCATTTTACAGTTAATTAGTATTAAACAACTTATTATAACCTGGATATATTCATACATGTATTTCAAAACATTTCCACAATCTTAGTCATATTTATTAAAAGATGATAATATATAACATGTAGGAATATATATTTAATATATTGTATAAAGACTGTGCCAAAGTTAAGCCTAAGTCTGTTATGAATGGTTTGGTAAATGAGATGTATTTATTTATGTTGTTAAGAATTTTAACTGCGCTGTTTTGTTGGTTTTTTTATTGTAAAGTTTTAAGCCCATTGTTCCTAAAGGTGCTATTGTAGTCGGTAGCCTATATATATATATATAGATATATATGTGTCATTCTTTTTTCTCCTTTCAAATCTCCCTTTCTTCTTCTTATCAAATGTTATCCCAAATAGATGTAGTTGATTGCTAAGAACTCTTCAGACTTTTATCAAATGATGCTGAAGTGGACCAGCTTTGCTTATGATGACAATAGAAAATAAAAGGAATCTTTGAATAAAATGTTATGTCTAGACTACTCTTGATTCTGAAATTTTATTGTTGTGATTCTGTGTTTATGAATACAACATGTTGTTTGTTGAACATAGAATCAAATTTTTTAGCCTGTTTTTATTATTTTTATGGACATGTAAATTATTTATTAATTTCAGGTTTAATTATGGAAAAGTAAAATGTGTCACAAGCAGATTTTTATTGTCCAATGCTTTTCATAATCATTGCTACATAGATCTATAAATCTTGGACTTTAAAACTGACACACTTTCTCATACCATTAGATCTAGGGGAAATTAAGTGCAATGTAAACAAGATATTATACATTGATATGATAATAATAGAACAAAAATATATGTATTGTAGAGCATAATACTGGACAGTTAGGCTATCAGAGAGCTAATAGCATGAACAAAGAGATTTCGAATAAGAAAGAGTATTAAAATTGTTAGTTAATGATATTAGGTACAAGAAAAATTAAAGAAATTAGACTAACTATGGATTACTATAGATTATAAGAGTAATAAAATGTTAATGAAAATGAGTTTATGTTCAATTAAAAGCTGTATTACATACAGAAGTATGTACAAATGTAACTCTTGGTTACAAAGCTATATTTGTATTATAGATGCCAATTTTATTGTTTAATATAATACTCATTTTATTTTGTCTTTTATTCAAAGCAATGACTTGACTATCATTTTACCTACATTATTATTCATTAATAACTTTGTCATCTGTTTGTTCCTTAAAAATCATTGTTCACATGAGTGAATTCATAGAAGAAAAGAACACCAGTTTCATAAAAAAAAAGTTTCATTATTATGTCTTTTTCCCCATTCTCATTTATGTCTATTTTATATAAATTTGTAATATATTAAAAATGTCAATCTTAAAAAAGAAAACATGTGTTGTTTTCTAATTGGTTGCCAATCATGCATTGTTATATATATTTCATCTTATGTTGTCATGGTAACACTACCTGCCATAAAGAAGTTAATCATGTACTACACTATCAAAACAGTGTTTGTTGTTTTATTTCTTACTATTTACATAATGTGTGCTCTTATAACAAAAAAAATAATTTGACAGAATGTGTCTACAGATAGTGAATGTTGAACATTCCATTTTGATGGTACAGACATAGAGGTATAGAAGGGTCACTGCAACTCTAAAATGCACCATTGTAATATTTCAAGAGGGTATGAGAACCACAGCTTTTGCCCAAAATTTGGATGCCATTTACTTTGGATGCCATTACACCACTATTATGAGACTATCTGATTGTTTCTACCGGAGTCAGTATGGTCCACTGGCCAATGCCTCAACAACAGCAGCACTTATCCGGAACATCTGCAGGATTGCATGATGCCAACTTATCAAACTGCTGCTACTGACACATAGTACAATTTTATTTCAATAATTTTTTGTGCACACTTCTTTAGAGCAGTAAGAGGAAACCTGAAAACCCATGATGGCGACCCTATTCATTATCAGTTATAAGCTTGGGATCGAAACCAAGCCACATAACTCAATGACAGACCTTATGACCTCCACTCCTCCCATAACCTATTATATTAGTTGTGACTTTTCCAATTAGATATTTCACAGTTGAATAATTCTTGTGTTTTGACAGAGAGAAAAAAAAGACATATTTTTTGTGCAAGTCATCCTGTTAAATTTATCGTCAAACGTACAAAAAGAATTAAAATCATGTGAAAAATTACCTAATATGCTGTTAAAGCGAGAATTTCATATTTTCTAAGAAAGTCAAAACATAATTATTTCTATGTCTTTTGCTCAATTGGTTATCAACTCACTATTATCCGATGATGGGCATTATTTCCCACCCTTAAAAATCATTGACACAGGAAATAATAACACAATTACCTCCCTTGTTTTCCTATTACCTCCATGGAATAGCTATGTTCAAACGTTTGAATTTGAAGCTGAAAATGATATCTTTGCCAATTTCTCAGCTGGCAATAGTGAATTATAGGTAGGACTGTTTAACTATCTATTTTAAGGCTTTATTTTAAAAAAATTTAAAAATAAAACTTAAAAATATGAAATTGTAGCTTTAAATGATGATCTAACCGACTGTCAACTTATCAGTCTTGTGGAAACTGCGTGTTTAATTTTTGCCGGTACCGTAATATAACTATAAGAGTATAATTTTGGTCAATTACTCCACAATATAATGCCCTTAACTATAAAATTATTCATTTGCTGACTACTTTTGTTGTGATCGGGAGACTACAATGCAAGCCATCAATTACTACATTCTGATATTCAGATTGTTATATATTTTTTCGTGCCATGTCCGAGGATTTGTTTTAGATTCTGTTTGGCTGTTAACCTGAATTAACCGAATACTCCCGATTGCCCGGATACAAGAAAAACCTATTTATAGATGTCACATGATAAAACATGGCGACTATCAACAATAACAAATTGCTTCTCTGCACATTGACATTGTTTTTTTGTTTTCTACCAGTTTTGCAAGCCGCCCCAGTACAAATTTGTGGAGCTGGTGCACTAGGATATGATTTGACTAACCTGACAGCAAAGTTCCGTTTCAGATATTTTATTCTTCTTTGCACTTTAGCCTAAACATTTTAGGAACTAAGGAAGGGACAAGGCCAGGGTCATCTCGCGTTACGCCGTTACGGTACCTACATGTATAATTTAAACGTCAGCAATTACTGGTTTCGTTTACTTTCACCTCGCAAATTCTTTTTGTTTATTAATGCCTGTAACATCTTATGTCATTAATTTGCTAATTATCAGCGATGCCAGATTCTATCCTTAGCTTGGCTGAGAAAGTTACTCAGGATTTACTCTGCATGATCGATCCCCTTGTAAGCCTTGTCACCTCAGTAGTTCAGGAAAGAAAGCCTAGCAATAAAAAAAAGTTTCTATTCATTATGATTGGATGCAAATCTGAAATCAAATTGTCATACAGCAGCCTTAACAATTAAGTTATTCAATGAAGAGTAGCACAGGATGGAAACACTGTATCTTGACAAAATTTCCTTCATGTAGTATAGTGTAGGCCTATGCCCGTCTTTATTAGCCCAGTTGGCGCAGAAAAGTAGGATGTTAACCCCATTTCATTTGCTTTTCACTACATATCATAACATAAACAGCCCAATCTAACGACACATCTTTTGCATATATCTGCAAATATTGTATTTCACTGACTTGACAGGCCATGACAAGTCAATGTTGGGGATGGGTGTAGGTGCTTAATTAAGAAAAAAAAGTGTAGGGGTATATTCTGGGAGAGTAGCACGAGGTAAACAAACACATGTTTCAAACTTCAATCAAGGATACGAATTCCTCTAATGGGAATGGGCACCTTGATTGAACAAATTTTTTTTTTTTGGACTTTGCAGTTACTCCTTAGCTCATTGTATATTTATTATGGTAAGATATATTTTTACATCATTTTTGTAGAGTTTGGACATTTGAGGGTAACAGATCATCATGTTTACCAGTAAATGGTACTGTTCCAGCTACCTGTACATTTTATATGGGTTTATGTCAAAAAATTGCAAATTGCAGCAATGCTTCAGTTTGTCAGTCATCTAAATCTAACTCATCCTCATCATATTTCAATCTGGGTAGATATACCGAAGATCCATTTCATTCTTATCCTGGTAAGTATTAAGTTATATTCTCCATTTGTATATTGTTGGCATCCCTGTTGATCCATTTCTTGGCCTGTCCATCTTATCACAGTTTTTGTTAACGCTAGGTTCCCACTATCACGATTCGCACTACGATTGGAATTGTGGTTTTAATCGTGGTGATCCTATCAGGTCTTATCATATATTGAGGTAAGTTGTAGCAATCGTGTTGATTGTATCGAAACGTATCCAAATGTAGCAGAGTGTCGATTATTTAGAGACAATCCTATCATAACGCATCGCATAACATTGGGAACCTAGCATAATAGTCTACTTACCATTAAGTCTAAAGGTCAGAATTTTGAGATTTCAAAAATTTTAAACTTGCAAAAATTGTTAAGGTAGTTATTAGGAGGAATCCTATTGCATGTATATTTTGTCCAGGGGCCTTATTCATGATTATTTCAACTAAAGTATTTTAACAATTCAGCATTTTCATTGGCCGAGAATGCAAATTATAGTCCTCATTTTAGCTGTAAACCAATGAAAAGATATCATTCTTAAAATAAGTTATTAAAGATTTTAGGAATAAGTCCCCAGGTCGTTTAGTATTAATATAATTTAATAAGGAAGTGGACTCATTAGCCGAATTAATTGGGACAAAATTTTATTAGAAGGCGAATGGGTTGACACACTTGGCGAATCCTTCACCCAATTCACCAGTTGATTGCATCACCTTTCACATCACATGATTAAACATGGCGGCGACCATGTCTTCAAACAATCACGTGACACTTCTTGATATGTGTAGATGATGAGTAGTGATTGGCTAATGAATTCTACAATCAGGCGAATGCATTGGCAAAGTTAAAGCACTAGGCAAATATATCAAACATATATGTTTGATTCTAGCGAACCGTTCATTCAGCTGAATGACAGTGGACACACTAGGCTAATTTCGACACCGTTTGATTCAGCAGGGCGAATCATTCGGCTAGATTGTCCACTGCTTTAAGTGTATCATTTTTGTTCATTTGCATTTTTTATTTAACATATATCCATATTCTATGCATTTCTTCCACATGATAATTCTTTGGTAGCTGAATTTTTTTCAAATTTGGGATTCTTATTACAACAAATTTTAACAAAACATTTAAGAGCAGCTATTGAGAGTTAAACCTCAAATGACATCAATTTTTCTAAAGCAAAGTAAATTGCTCAACAACTGACAATTAGATGTACCACCATTAAATGATGAACTCAGAAATATTTTTTATCATAAAAAAGATATTTAACCATATTGATAAAAACCAAGATGTTGATGCTGATATTAGTAGTTATAGTTATTTATGATAAATACGGGATATAAGGCACATGTCACAGATATTGTCAATCACAAATTATCATACAGCGTATATATTGGTCAGAAACAAAGTATCATACAACATATATATTATAATAAAGAGACTGTGATTATTTGTGTCTGACAAAGTCTGTGACCGGTGCCTTCAGCCCAGGGTGGATGGCCGAATGGTTAGCACGTGCATGCTGTATCGTAAGGTCTGTCAATGAGTCAACTGCCGCAGTTTCGATTCTCTGGTTGTATATGACAAGGAGCAGTGTCACCTGTCCAACCTCGTGGGTTTTCTCCAGGTCCTCCAGTTTCTTCCCACTGCTAAAGACCCCTACGCGCAACTGAATTGAACCATATGTTAGTCCCGAAATGACCTGGTTTGTGTCGAGTGGACACTACCCCCTCCCCCCTCTCTCTCTCTCTCTCTCACATTAAAAAAAACAACAAGTAATGAGACAAATCAATTCTCCGATATTACTGGGGTGGTGTGAGACTATAATTGGGGTTGTATAGTAAACCCCCATCTGCCTTTTAACTTTCTTTCTGATTTTATTAAAACAAAACTAGCACAGTTACCAGCATATGATTTTCACATGTTTCTATATTTGCAGTGCCACCAGGTTTTAACACAACATTTGGTCCGGGATTATTTAATAAATCTTGTTTACTTAAAACACAGATTTTTTTTGAGTGTAATTCTAATTCATTATGGCCGTCCAAAACTGCAGTAGAAAGTAAAGTTCCTGTTAATCCTGTCATAGTATTTGTAAAAGAACAGTATCTGGTGAGTTATATATATTGATTAAAGATACATTATGTAAGATTTAGATAAAGAACTAGCCATTCTTGCTATAATAGTTCGAAAGTAGATGACGTAAAATGAATAATTTGAAAATTTCATTCAAATTACTCTATTGCAAGCGAAGATATTAGCCTTTGAAGGTTTGACAGATGTGTGCAATAATTTCAACCACTGTACTGGTTGATGGAAGCTAAGTATCGGTCCTCCATATTTGATTAAATCAAAGTATCGCTGAACCATTCTAATCTATTTAATATCGGAGAAATCTGATGCCATCGAGAGTTGATTCAGGCCTGGACCAGTTAATTAATGTCTAATTAATACTTTAGAAAACATTTCAGGCCTAAAGAAAGACCTACAATAGGTAGGCAGATTTAGCTCTTGCATAATGCATGTTTAATCTTTTTATTGTGATAATATCGATAGGAATTAAAGAACCAATTAACCTGTTGGTAGAAACTTTGGGCAGTCTGTCGAGCAGTTTGATTTACAATTAGATATCATATTTTTATTAATTTTTTACTAAGTTTAATATGCTTTCATCAAAACTGCATGTACTGGTAGATTTAATTCAAAGAAAACTGTGAACTATTCCGATTATTACCAGTAATGCGGGTAAGATGGATTGGTCTATCTGTCAAATGTTTTGGACAAAATTACTCTTCTTCCAATTTAAGCCTCGCTCATAACCTCATAACCCACCGTACGTGCTACTACGGCAGTCTACAGGGTAACTTTTAGTAAACCTGTGCGTAAAATTTACACGTCACTTGCGTGTGTTGGGCACTGTAGAAGATCGCACATTCAAAATTTTCAACCGGTTTCTTGCATGCTGGTATGTGATCTACCAAAACCATGCATGTCAAAGCACATAAGGCGGGTTGTGATCTAGGCTTAAGGTAGTACATTTAAACATGGTGTAGGTGTTTATCAGGTGAATATCTCGACTAAGTTCAATGATGAGTATTGAATGTGAGGTCAAAACTTTTAGAAGTCAATAAGTCTGCTTTAGAATGTTGAAACTGGGTGTAGATGTTTATTCGGTGAATGTCGTGACTGAGTTTATTGATTAACATTCTTAATAAAGGCTTAGTAGAGATAAGCAATTTGATTGGTTGATGCTTTGGGACTTTATAACTTCTAATTGAAGGAGAGTAATGAAACTTTGTGTATTTGTTACATTACCGGTACCTTAAAGCCTTGACAAAGTTCGATCATGAGCATTTTCACCATGGGCCAAGTTTAAATAAGCAGGTTGCTTGTGTGACGCATTTCAAACAGATAAATATGCAATTAATTATAATGTGTCATCTATTAATTTTGAGATTCCAGCGGCGGACATCAGCCTCACTGTTGGCTTGATTTAATGTTTTTGATAAAAATGACTCTAAATTATTTTGTTGTTGTTATGTATTATGATTTCAGTATAATATAACATTTGAATATGCTGGTGCATGTGTAATTATATTACCTTCTGAAAGTGTAACACAACTAAGTGGTGGAACAATTTTATTAATCATGTATGTACACCAGCCCTTATTATTGTAGAACCATAGTACATCATTTGCATTTGTCTGTTCCATCGATCAGTCCTATTTCTTGTACTCACAGTGAAGGTCAAATTTATGTAAATTTGCTGTACTTTGATGTGAACTCACTTGAAATTCAGGGTCACACATCCCCTTGTCATTGAAACCTTGGAATTGCTGTCATAGGCGTACGGGGAAATTTTTGACTGGGGGGAGGGGGGGGCGGTGGTGGTTGGTGCCCAAAAAATGTAGTTAGGTTCTTAGTATGTTACATAATAATTATAAATTCGCTGTTAAATTGGACACATTCAAGAACACAATATTTTTTTAATACAATTTTTACAAAGTATAATTGTGTGCCCAAATTTTCCCAGCATTTGTTGCCCAAAGGCCCCCCTGCCTCGTAAACCTGTGATTGCTGTTCAGGCCACAATTTTTTAAATTGAATTTTGAAACTTGCTGGACTTTTTCAACTAATCATACCAGTAGATAAGATGAAGCCAATTGAAATTGTGAGTTATATTGAAACTGAGTATGTAATTAATATTGTAGTTCAAATACAGTTAAAGACAACTTTTATTAACTGCCAGTGGATGGTTATTAATTGTAAACTCTTTATTTATTGCTGTCAATATCATTGAATACAGACCAGGCAACTACTAGAAATGCATGTCCGGAGATCAAATGTTCAATTTCTCTTGTGATTCGAATCAAACAGATCATTAAACCTGGCATGGAATATTTCTAGCTTTAAATTGAAGAGAAGTAAATTACTTGTGTACATCCTGTCTATCGACTTAAGAATACCTTGACAGTTGCAACTTCAGCTGCAAACCTATCTATGTCATTCATAGAAAAATGAGCCAATCAATTGATTTAGAATAAAGACATGATCCAAATAAATGGTTTTCATTCTTCCATCTTCAAGTGCATTATTGAAATAAAATTGGGCCATATGTTTGTCCCAAAATGACCCAGTTTATATCAAATGGACATTTAACCCCATTTATCTCTCTCTTGTCTGTCATACAGTTCTGTGAAGTGGCCGGCTTGCCACCACCCTCCACTCTCAAATACTAATTACCTCAGTATGTAGTCGAGTTATTTAGAATTGGATAAACTATAAGTGACCTAGTTTGTGTTGTGTTTTTTCAAGACCTAGTTTGTGTTGTGTATGTTTCAGATTTACAGTTACATTGATAGTCTATTTTACATTTGGTGCCATGTTGAACATTGCTCGAGGTCGTCATGGAAAGGATGTAATACCTAATGCTGATTTCTGGATGACTTTACCAGTTTATGTTGCGGTAAGTTCATACTGAATTTGTTATGTATTGTCGACCAAAATGTAACTTTCTTGAATTAAGATTGGTCGAAAAGTGGTGTCAAATGAGCAGGGGATGCTCTGGAGAATGCAGGGGATTACTAAAATGGTTTTGTCTGCTCACCCATCTGCTCTTGACAGGGTCTGACTTTCCACCGAGACTAAGCATAGATTATTTGATTTGCTGATGCTTTGGAAATCGATAACTCTAACTCTAATTGAGTGAAAGTGATGCAACTGAGTGTATACCTGTAGTTTCATTGCATCAGTACCTTGACTAAGTTCAATGATGAACATTATCTGCTCAGGTTAAGCAGAGTGATAAATACTTTATAAAACGATGAATGTACAGGTAGTGTCATCCACTTTGTGGTGTTGCAACAAGACATGCATTAATATTAATATTATTGTGATATTTTTTTCAGGATGGTATTTTGTTTACATGTAGATGTGGTAAACTAGAAACATCTTCAGATTATGATAAAATTTAGCATCCATTACCGAGGTGATCAAATTCTGTAAAGATTTAAAGAATCCTACATATTATTATTATCAAGGGATGTTTATCATTGTATGTCAGTCAGTAAGCGATAAAACATACACCTACTCATCTGATTTAAAGCACATATCATGTCAATGTTGAACACTGTACTAATGATGTCATCTAAATGTTTTAAGCATTTGAACAAATTTTATTGAAAAACCTATTAAGAAAGAATCAATTTTGTCAGCTTTTGTGTTCGTATTAACCTATATATTTTATATCTTTATTTAATCAATTGTATTAACATTGTCTTGTTTTACACTGTATATATATATACAGTGCCCGTTTAGTGTTCGTTTTGGATAATAAAGTTACTATTTACATGTATTTATTGATATTAGGTTTTAAAGATACCTTCCCGAGTGATTTGATGATATATTTGGACTAAAAACACATTCAAACTAATTAATCTATCAAAATTTTGGTTCAAATCCTTCGCAAAACATTGTATTCATGAGGGAATACACCTGCTATAAAAAGTCTATTAAAAGAGGTCATGTTTGTGTCATGTGACTTGGCATGAACTATTCTCTCCAGTTGTCACATGGGATTAAATTACTCATTATGGATAGTATAATAATGTTACATTGTGTTTATAAATATATTGTGTTTATTTCTTGTATAATACATATTCAAAAATTATTATTAGCTATGTATGAAGCTAGGCAGATATGGCAAGATTCAATTTTATCTTAAAGGGACAGTCCCAGATTTCACAGGAAACAAGTTGATAAAAATGCTTTAAGTATGAAAATGTGAAGAATAATCCTGGTTTGTGTGTGAATGTTAAAGCTAAAAATGTTGAATCAGTATAACAAACTTGTTTTAAGGAATTCCACTGCTCAGATGTTTGAAAGACTGTAATTGGGACGATAATTATAACTTACCAATATAAAAGTTAGAGACATGGTTATCCAGGCTATATTGATAGGGTGAATTTGGGGACTTAAAGCCGGAAACATATGAAAATTGAAATTTGTATTGTTCTTTCATGCAGAATTAACCTGTTTGATTTCCTAAAATATATACAGCTCCTTTAACACCATGCAAGCACCTTCAAGTACATGGTATACAGAATGTTATATCTTTCAGTTTCTTTGTTTTGTTACAAATTCTGATTGTTGTTATTATTGTAAGAAATTAGTTTCATATTCACAGTTCCCATATAATTGAAATTCAATCTTTAGTCCCCCGCCTTTTAAAGGGTGCTGTTAAAGTAGATTTACCTGCCAGTCTGTCGGTTACACAGTCGTACACTGTTTTGAACAAAGCAACTCTTCTTGTAATTGAGGTAGATATTCATAAGGTGAATGCCTTGACTGAGTTTGATGGCCAGCATTTTCTGCTTCAGCTAAGCAGGAATGAGCAATTGGATTTGTCATTTGTCAATACCTCAGAACAGTGATTGTAATTGTACGAGAGTGATGAAATTTGGTGTATAGTTTCTTAACATCAATACCTGTACTACGTTTGATAATCATCATTTTTTGCTAAAGTTAAGCTGAGTGGGTAAGCAATTTGATGGCTCAATGTTTTACAAAAAGTTAAATGAGCCAATAATTAATGAACGCCATCTATTTCTTTTAATATTGAGATGAGGACATTAGCCTCACTGTTGGCTTGTTTTATTGTTTTTAATATTATTCTGTTTTCCACCAGAAGTTGTCTTCAACTGGCCTTTATATTTTATAGATTAATGCATTTGTACATTGTATATGTCACATGATAGATACTATTTTACTATAAACGTGTTCAGAAATATTTTCAGAAATATGTACAAGATCAAAGTGCTCACGATACCACCTGTATAATTGTATGTATAGAAAAATATATTGTTAATGTGCCCCCAGCTTATTTAGGAATATCCTGTCAGATTTGCTTGGATTGTTCAGTTAGGAAAAAGCCGAATTTGCTCCTGTATAAGGACACAGCTAATCAATTATTCCTACGCCGTCAGCCACGAAACAAGGGTCAAAGTTATTTTTAGTCTTTCTCTCCATGGTTACTTTTCTCTACTTCCAGTTTGTGTATCTCAGGATTTCCATGATGAACCTCAAAGTGCCTTTGAGCAAGAGGTTGCCACATGTTGCTCCATCTGTGGTAGAAAATGTTTTACCCAACAAAATTAACATTAAAGTCAATAGGGAAATCATTGGTGATGTGTGGCCTGTAGGTAGATTATTAATTTTTTGCAGAGTTATTGCAGTTATTATTTCTAACCCAGAAACCTTGTGAGCACTCTAAAAGTTACAACATATTGGTATAACATAATTTCCTTAATTAAAATGATGTTAGTGGGCCTATATTTCTTTGTTACTAAAGCTTGCCACACATAGTTTCATTTTCAGAGAACAGTCTATTATTTAAATGTTCAGTATAAATGACTATTGTATAGTTTCTTGCCACAATAAGGTGTTTCAGGTGTCTCATAAATATAAATAATTGGTATTAAGAGAAACTTTGTTCAGAAATAAATGATTGTTTTATGTCAATATCCTTTTAATTTTGGTTAATGGTTATTTACTTGTACTTAAGAAAAACGTTGAAATCTAATAAATGAAAATAATGGCCCTCATTTAGCCAGAGATGTTGACAATTGTGTATAGAATGTTAATAATTATCTTTAAAATTCATGTCTTTCCTTTCTGTCGTATTTGTCAAATAAATAATTTAATATTTTGTTGCAATACATATATATTGTTATTGTAAAATGATGAAGTATTTTATATAAGAGAATTTGTCCATGCCTTATAACATCATAATATTATTATAGTAAATAGATGAAATATTTTTTTATATTAGAGGATTTATTTGTGCCTTATATCATATATGATAAATGTTTATTATAGTTATAATATACTAATCTGGAAATTCTATTTTGTTGAATAAATATATCTAATATTATTAAACTGTTTTTACAAATATTGTGCCAAGAAATTATTGTTATGGATGACATACTTTATTTGATGTAATTCTATAACCGTGTGGACATACAACTTGTGTTTGGGTTGAAGCAGGACACAGCTTTTCAATTTTTATGCGCTCACATATTAATATTGTGTATTGCTGCCGATAAAATTCTGAAATTATTTTAAAAATAAATGAAACAGTTTAATGAAAGATGTGTTGACTGTATAAAAATATTATTATTAACATTATTAACATTTGAATCAATAAATGGCACCGCGTCTGATTATATATTCGATCTACTTGTCAAACCACAACACTCTCGCACTCTGCAATCAAATGACAAAAACATCCTCGTTGTACCAAAAGTGAATCTCCAAATGTGTAGACGCTCTTTTAGATATGCTTCATCTGTATTATTGAACTCGATCGATCCTAATCATCCCCTTAAAAACTGACATTTTCAAATGTAGGCTTAAAACATATCTGTTCCACTTACGCTTTGGAATCGAAGATCAAGCACTAGGGACCTTGCTACAGTGGTGTTTCTGCACAATGTAATTTCTGTATTATTATTATTATAAACAAACGAAATGTATCGATTGAGCTACTAAAAAACGAGCCTTTGTCATGCAGTGTGCTATGAGGGAAATTTTGCCTAGACAATGTTTATGCTTACTCTTTGTCGAATCTATGTAAAGAAACCAATTTATGATCTTTATCAGACTGACATTGTGTTATAACCTCTTGTAACCTACCTTGATTGCTAATGAAACTAAAAAGTATAGTTGGAGTAAGTAGCCTAAATAGAGCGTTCAAATCAAAACTAGATGTGGCGCCAAGGCTATGTGATTTGCACTGTGCTGAAAGAATGGTTTTATATCATCTATGTGGAACAGTTTGCAATTGCTGGACAAATCTTTTACAATTCTCAATGATGCCTCACCACCTCTGACTAATATACATCTACTTGACTCGAATGGGGTTGGATGGCTAAATGGTCTATTGTGCGCCGTTAGATCATAAGGCCTGTCATTGAATCGAGTGGTGTTGTTTTGATCCTAAGCTTGTACAAGTCAATGATACAGGTTGCTCGTGGGTTTTATTATTGAAATAATGAAAAGATTGTACCTTATGTTAGTTTCAAAATTATCTAGTCTGTGTTGAGTGGTTTCAAAATTATCTAGTCTGTGTTGAGTGGATTTTAAACTCTCTCTCTCCCTCCCCTCCCCTCTCTCTCTTCCTCTCTCTCTCTCTGACTAGCACTAATAATAAACCATATTATACAAATATTTTATGAAAAAGGTTAACAATATATAGTTTGAGACAATTATTGTATATCATACAACTTTCAAACAAGATATAAATTCACAACATAAGTAATTATGAATCATTCATCCATGAATAAATAAATACAATTGTTGTCAATCAAGACAATGACCCACTTCAGCCCAATCCATACTCAATCACTGTCTTTTTTCTTGGGACTTTTTTACCCCAAAAAATTACTGCTCTAACCAAAGAGTGTGTTGTCAAGATGTTTCTGCTGCATATTCACAAACTAATAGGATTTATATTGCCACACTATTAAATCCCTTTTTAATAGTATTTGATGAATTTCACTGTTATCATTTTAGTGGTATTTTGTACAGTTGTACTATATCAAAATTACCCTACAATAGCCCCTACAGATGACTCTGTAGCACTGAAAATGTTAAATTTTTCAATTATTTATCAAGTGTTTCCATTAACTAACTACATTTCAAGTATTTTTACCTTGTGTAACAGACACATTTCAAGTACTTTTAATCTGTGTAACGGACACAGTTCAAGTATTTTTACACTGTGTAATGTACACAGTTCAAGTATTTTTACTTTGTGTAACGGACACAGTTCAAGTATTTTTACTTTGTGTAACATACACAGTTCAAGTAGTTTTAATCTGTGTAATGTACACAGTTCAAGTATTTTTAATCTGTGTAACAGACACAGTTTAAGTTTTTAATCTGTGTAACAGACACAGTTCAAAGTATTTTCGCTCTGTTCTGTTGGATTCTATGTAACATACACAGTTCACAAGTATTCTTAATCTGTTCAGTTGGAATCTGTTCTGTTAGATTCTGAGTAGCACCTTTAACCCACATTGTTTCAATTCTTTTTCAAGTGTTTCCATTGACCAACTACAGTTTAAGTATTTAACTTTGTGTAAGGTACACAGTTCAAGTATTTTTAATCTGTGTAATGTACACAGTTCAAGTATTTTCACTCTGTTCTGTTGGATTCTGAGTATCACCTTTAACCCACATTGTCTTACTTTCACTTTCTGGCACTTTAATCTCATTCTGACTTTCAGAATCTTGTGGTGTTTTACGAAGAGTTTCATCGATTTTATCATATCGTTCTTGAGCTTGACGCCACATGTTAACTTTTCTGACACTTCTACCATCAATATTATCTATTGGCTGTTCTATGGATACAGATGATCCCAGGCCAGCAGCTTTATTAGACCGATAATTAACATTAATCTGAAATAAGAGACGTACATTACTGGTATTTTGTCAATAAAACTGTTTAAAGTGTTAAATGTTTGTAAATATAACAAACTGTTTCCTTGCCTATTACACTTAATACCTTGATACCAAATGTTCTGGATTCACAGGAGTTCAGTGAATAATGTGCTGGCTCACTAACTAGGAGGTTCTAGGTTGAACCATAATGGTATTGGCTGAGAAAGTACATCAGGATTTTCCAGACTGGCAACCCCTTACCAGTGGGTACATAATGCACATAAAACAAAAGTAGGGTGTAGTGCCACTGTGTGGGCAAAATTCCCTTATAGCACACTGCATGACATAAGTCCCTCTCCATTAACCTGGTTGGTGTAGAAAAGTAGGACGTTATGGTAAACCCAATTTCATTTCAGTAAGGCGTAGCGGCATTGTATGGGCAAAATTTTCCTCATAGCACACTGCATGGCATATTTCCCTCTCCACTAGCCCGGATGGTGGAAAAATGTAGGATGTTAAACCCAATTTCATTTTATTTCACTGAGACTTATTGCAAGTGAAAGAACGACTGAATATAGAAAATGCTTTTCCTTAATAAAAAGTAATCCAGTGGTATGGGCAAAATTTTCCTCATAGCACACTGCATGGCATATTTCCCTCTCCACTAGCCCGGATGGTGGAAAAATGTAGGATGTTAAACCCAATTTCATTTTATTTCACTGAGACTTATTGCAAGTGAAAGAACGACTGAATATAGAAAATGCTTTTCCTTAATAAAAAGTAATCCAGTGGTATGATTAAAATGAAATGAAATGGGGTTTAACATCCTACTGTTCTGCTCAGACTGGGCTAATGAAGACATGCATACGCCATACAGTGTGTTATGAGGGAGATTCTGCCCGGACGACGGCACTATGGCCTACTCTTATACTGAATTTCAACTGCCAAGGAAACTTTTATATGCACTCCAATGTGTACATGAGACCTTGGTTTTTCGGACCATCCAAACAACTATACATTGTCCCTTGCCAGGCCCTCTGTCCTGCACCACTGATATATACACGGGACCTCAGTTTTAAGTCCCATCCGAACGACTAGACAGCTGTCCTTGTCAGGCCCTCCGTCCTGCATCACTGACAAGGGGAAACCACGTCGGAAAATCAGATGAACTTTCTCGGCCAATGCAGGGATCGAACACCCAACCTCCAGGCTAGCGAGCCAGCATCTTACCCACTTAGCCACCGTGGCTCCAGTATGATTAAAACATTGTCAGTCTTAGTTTTCTGTGTCATCTCTGACCTCAAACCATTTATAAATAAATAATTGTAACAGTTGGAAGATATTACTCACTGGATCGACTATACCAGAACTTGATTTTCCTAAACCTTCGCCTTCTTTCCACCCCATTTTGGATAACAGTTTATGACCAACATTTTTACCAGATATTGGTCTGAAGGAAAAAAAATAATTGTTAATTGAGAGTAAACTGTACCAGAAATAAGCATTCTATGCTAAACAGAGAGTATTTTAATAAGCCTACTTTATAGACTTTTAGAATAGAAAAAATCAAAGAATTAAGACAAGAAGAGGTAATTTGATATAACTAGATATATAAAACTTAATTTGGGATATCACGGTATAGTACATAAATTATCCCAGTTAGCAGTTGGATGTTAAACCCCATTTCATCTTTATATTAATTAAACATCTACACGGTTCATCAGACCTCCTAATACACAATGCCCCAAACTTTAAAAGGTCAATATCTGAATGAAAAGAAAAAATCTTTGAAATTTAAGATTCAAAAATTGTGAAATTCAATAGGGTCCTTCCTTACAGTCTCTTGAGAACACTGCCCTGTATTACATTTAAAAGGCGTCATATTAATTTGAAGGTAAATATGGAGATATCTCTTTGATTTGCGACTGAAATATCCTGAAGTTTGAAAGGGTTCATCTATGAACAATCCCAATAAATTTATAAAATTTCCATTCAGACGTTTTTAAATTTATTGCATTTACGAGCTCGAAATGTTAAATTGAGCCTGGGAAGTTAAGATTGCAACCCCATTCAAAATTTACGATCAGGGATCTTCTATAGATACCCTTCCAATGCCTGGTAATCTTTTTTAAAATAGATCATTCATCAAAAATTTTAAAAGCATTTCATACTTATGGACAGAAGCTGGTGCTTCAGCTTTGTGACCAGGTCCATCACTACCAACTTTCTTACGTCTTACAGCAGCCTTGTCTTCATACGCTGGATTATTTATAGCCTGATTATTATCCTCATACGCCATATTCTAAAATATACAATTTTCTTTAACTAATAAGAATGCACATATTGAAGTAAAGCAACAATCTGTATAAATTAAGTTAAACATAGAGTTAAACATAGACAACCCCATGGTATGGAAGATTATTGACTCTATTTCCTGAAGCTGATAAATGACTTCTGGTGACCTAATTCTGGATTCCATTAACCCCAAATTTTTGAAACAGCATCACTTTTTACACCCAGCCACTTCAGTCAGACATGCTTGATCTAAAATCCCACATTAAGATCTATGTCCCAAGCTTTAAAAATTAAAATGTCCATGAAAACATGTTTGAACTGAATTATTTTTCTTTACCATGAATTCTGTTCTGTATTGCATTAATAACACTACATAGTAAGTAAACTGGGGGATAACATAAAAATATACCATCAACACATTCTTAATTTTGATAGGGTTCCTCCTAATGAACAATCCCAACTGTGTTTTAAAAAAATTCCTGTATCATGTCAATTGTCAAAATGTGAATTGAAATGCTTTCAAAATTGAATAGGGTTCTTCTTTATGCAACGATCTGTAATCTGACCAAGTTTAAAAGTTCTGTTGAGAACCTTGTCTTGTGATACAACATCTTCAATAGGAGGCTTGATCTCGCTTTAACTACGTAGATCTTATCAAGGCCTTCACGTAATACCCTGCATATTTCGGCACTAATTTCGATTGGGTACAAGCCCAGCTTGTAAGCCTATCAGATTCCTAAAATATCTACCTGTGATAATCGAGCTGCAAAGTTCAATGTTCGTTCAATGTCAAGGTTTCCGCGAAGGTCGCGATGTCAGAACCTCTGATTGGATGCTACTGTTCACGTGTCTGTAGATAACGTAGCTATAAGTTCGGGAATTGTGAAGTAATCTAGCAACGTCAAGATGTTGTAAAACTCGCAGTCGTTGCTTCAGGAACATGGTGTTACAATAACAAGAATGTAAACAGGGGGATAACTCTATAATTTGAAAACAATCTGACAACAAACTGTAGTGTGTTAACAAGGTGACAGAGAGAGAGAAATGGGGTTTAAAGTCCACTCGACACAAACTAGGCCATTTCGGGACTAACATATGGTTCAATTTTATTTACATAATTCGCTTGCGCGTAGGGGTCTTTAGCAGTAGGAGGAAACCGGAGGACCCGGAGAAAACCCACGAGGTTGGACAGGCGACCCTACTCCTTGCCACGTACAACCGGGGATTCGAAACCACGCCATTCGACTCAATGACAGACTTTATGATACAGCGCGCGCACGCTAACCATTCAGCCATCCAACCCCCCTTTTAACAAGGTGACAACAATCTGTCCACATTGAATGTATGTGTAACTAAAATGTAACAATTATCTCTAGCTACTCCCACTTTTAACTGATACAAATAATTCACTCACTTTCAAACCATATCGTTTTTTAATAGTGTTTAATTCAGCTTTCTTTTGTTTTTTCTTCTCTGCCGCAGACAGAATAACTGAAAGGTTTAATTAATTTTCATATTCAATAAACTTAATAAAGAAAATGGTTATTTTTCTGATAAAGTAGGAAATGTCATTGAGTAACGCAGAATTCAATCCCATCACAGTTATGTCAGTCCCGACAACAGAGGTGGTGTGAGTAGAATCGTGACATAATTAAACACAACGAATATATGTTTCGACTGCATGGTTGGTTGAGAAATTTACTTATTCAGTTGATGCATGCGTTGTAGCCCGAAATCCATCTTTTCACTCGATTGTCACTATTTTTGGGATTGAGAGAATTCAATTCCGGAACGTTCAATCGTGTACCCCCATGGACTATTTTGGCACTAAATAATGCATCTGTATCTTATTATTGCAGTGGTGGGCAGATATACACAAAGATAACCTGTAAGGACAGACAGATGATGACCTTACTCCTTATGTATAACCATAATCATAAGATAAAACTATTGCCTGGTTGGCCAAGGCAATTGTCTCTAGAACGTTTGCTTGGGTTAACATAATTATGCTAGAGGTGGTAACCCAATTGCAGAGGAGCACCATGTTGGCACTGTTCTTCCATGGGACAAAAAAGTTCAATTTATACAATCTGTCCATGAACTAAATGCCTCATTGGTGACTATCCTGATAAGATCGATCAGCTATCCAGCTCCTTAATGTTTTCAGAAAAAATTCTTTGGACCAAACAGATAAAAATATCAGTTTTTATTACTTACCGATATTATTTGGTTCATCTTTTTTAACCCTGGCCTTGACCTCCCCAGGTTCACAATCTAAACATGTATCATTACCAGGATGTATATGTAATAAAAACTCAGTACTACCAACTTTCATTATATCACCATGATTTACTGCCGCTTCATGACTCACTTTGTTTGGCTATAAATATATAAATCCATTGTAAGTCGTGAAATCTAAGCAATTTGTGATTTTGATAGAAAAGCAATCAGATTTAGTAGTAAGTGAAGTCATTTGTGATATGAATACAATACAAAAGCAGTTGGTCTTGATAAGTATTATACAATCTGTTACTATTTATTTATCAATATTTTTGCGTTAAAATGAAATGAAATGAAATTTCAAATGACTAGACAGCTGTCCTTGTCAGGCCCTCCATTCTGCACCACTGACAAGGGGAAACCATGTCGGAAAATCCAGATGAACTTTCTAGGCCAATGCATGGATCGAATATGCGACCTTCTGGCTAGCGAGCCAGCGTCATACCCATTTAGTCACTGTGGCTATTTTTGAGTTAAAACTATACCAGTTACAGGGAGGTAATCTGCTCTCACCCAAATAAATATAATACAAACAAATACTTTAGGATATACCTACTATACGGTAGATGTTTGTAATATAAGAGGTAAAGAAATCTACCATACCTGTGATAGACGAGTAGTGTTAATATATGTACCATGTTGACTTCCTTCATCTTTAACCATATAGTTATTGTTATCATAATCAAACCATATACTACAATGATTCTATAATAAAACGATATCACATATAATTATTGTTATCATAATCAAACAATGTACTACAATGATTCTATAATAAAATAATATCTCATATTGTTATCATAATCAAACCATATACTACAATGATCCTATCACATATAGTTATTGTTATCATAATAAAACCATGTACTACAATGATTCTATAACAAAATAATATCACATATAGTTATTGTTATCATAATCAAACCATATATACTACAGTGATTCTATAATAAAATAATATCACATATTGTTATCATAATCAAACCATATACTACAATGATTCTATTATAATATAATTATAGTATGATGTATTTACTCTATTCATTTATGTACTACCGGTACTTGGTAGTGCATGGTGGATTTGTGAGTATAGTAATCGTTGCCGAAATATAAGATGTTTAACCCCATTTTATTTTATTTATATACTACCTGATGCCATAAATCATGGACTATTACCCTGCTTACTATCCAACTAATAATTATATTACAATTACATAATTTACTTATCCTACTGATATTATCATAACCATGTATCTATATTACAAATATTGAAATTAAAATAACTGTATTTACTCATTACTTTGATCAAATTAATTATCATGCTAACAAGAGTTACTTACCCTACTTATATTGAGATCATTAATCATTATAACATGATTTTTGCCTTTTTCTCTACCAACAATTCCACCAGTACATGTTATAATAGAGAGATCACCTACATCAAAACAATCTGATACTTGTACTATAGCTCTAATACATGGAGGCCAACTAGCTGATGCTTCTATAATAAAAACAACATATATATCTTAATTACAATCTTATCGTTAAAATATTTAAATAAACAATATTCTCTGCATTTAAATGCAAAACCAACAAAATTAAAAAAAATATAGATCTATGTACTTTTTCATTTGATACAAATTATGATCTTTTGTCTAATTATTTCAAGAAATTAATAAAGTCTATATTACCATTTTATTCAAATTAAGATTTTATTGTCTAATTATTTTAAGAAAATAATAAAGTCTATATTACCATTTGATACAAATTAAGATCTTCTTGTCTAATCATTTTAAGAAAATAATAACATTATATTAGGCTACCATTTGATACAAATTAAGAACTTATTGTCTAATTATTTTAAGAAACTAATAACATCTATATATATTACCATTTGCTATTTGATATTTCTCATCACCAGTATAAGGTACAAACTCATTCAATATCTCAATTGTACCATCACCTTCTATCACAATATCTTCATCGTTATCTGAGTCTGAATCACTGGAGGAATCAGAAGAAAGTTCACCTGACTCAAGTTCTGATTCTCCTGTACAAATACCATCTGAATCTCCATCAGATACATATACAACCTCAGAAGAGTCTGTAATTTCCTTCTCCGAATAAACCGTTTCAATTTCCCTATCTTTGAGATTGTCTTCAGTACAAATATTAGGTTTTTTGGGTTCGCATTTTTCCACTGAATCAATATTTGTATTTTTATTAGAGTCTGTTATTTCATCAAGTAGCATAATATCATCGACTTCCATACTTTCACTTTCACATTTTGTTTTTTCTAATGTAGGATCAATCAAATCTCTATGTTCAAGTTCAGACTTATCTTTTAAAAGTACAGAAAGAAGAGACGAGACTGCTCCAGAATTCACGGGAAAATCATCAAGATCTTTGATCACATTTTCATCCTCTGCCTCAGGGGAATAGTTTTTATTTGCTAAAGAAGTTTTTTCCTTTCTAGACGCACTTCCTTTTCTGGATTCTGAGGTTTTTCGTTCCCTGTGTTCATGACTTCTCTCTCTCTTCTTTTCCTTTCTAGATTTCTTTCTGGATTTCTTTGACGTTTCTGTACTTTCAGACCTTGTTCTTTTGTGTTTCTTGTGTTTTTTCTCATCCTAGGAATTAAAAGGAATAATATATAAACAATCATAATTACCTAAAGCATGTTTCATCTGTGACTGTATCTGTAAGTTACTAATGGAGCTAGTCACCTCATCAATATCTGTAGTCATCTAACAACAAAATAATTTCGACTATATTTGGTAACGTATCGAAGTTTTAGTACATTAAATAAGCACTATTAATGAGAGAGACATTAACCAAGTGATTAATTTCATGACCTACCTATCTTAATCCAATAATTCACAGGGGTCTTTAAAAGTGCAAAGGGGTGTTGAGAAGTGTGAGTAATTTTAACCTGGATGTTCAAGGCACATTCAATACAACTAATCGTAATGTGATTAGTAAACAAATTCAGCTATCTAGCCAAACATAATGACAAAATGTAATATTCACTCAAAAAGTCAAAAACAAAGAAAAATATGCTACAAAGCTTGGCTGTTTTACCTATTAACTCTAAGAGATACAAAAAATTGTTAAAAACTTTGGATGTCTTACCTTCTTTTTGTGTGTTTTACGCTTCTCCCTCCTACCTCTCTTATCAAATTGGACTTCTACTGGTTTAGTTGGGGTTGGGTTTTGTGATATATCTATTTGTGAGTGAAACTCATATGTCTGTGTGGTGGTATCATAATAGAAATAGGTTCCTGACTTCGGATCATAATATAAATTGTTTTGCTGAAGGAAAAAAATAACCCCAACACATGTGAATAAATGAATGGTAAGAAAATTTGATAACCATCCCATATTAGTATTCTTTTAATCATAAAAAAACTGTAGGTATATATATAACTAATAACATTATTTAATGGTTTATGCACTATTTGATCTTTCAGATGTCTTGCGGCAGGTGCATATGTTCTTTGAAAGAACTCAATCTAGAGTCCATGAAGGAAAAGGTGAATAAATCTTGTACAATTATGGGCATTTCAGGGTTTATGCTAAACACTTTCTACCCTGATTACAGGATGTGGACCAATCAATTTCCAGGGTTAGGGTATGGGATTGGATCATCAAGTCTGTAAACGACCTAAAGGCTAGGAGGTGTTTGTATTAATTCTTTGTTCTACTTACAGTATCTATGTAATATCCTGAATTATAATCATAATACATCTGACTAGTTTCATCATAAACATACTGGGTAGAATCGTAAGATTTTCCCGTTTGATTACCAATGTGAGTTGTAGAGTCAGCCTGTCCATATAAAGCAGCCTCAGCAGTAGCTTTCAAAGCATCTGCTATACAGCTTGTGTCTATGACATTATCCTTAAAATAAAACATAACTAATTAAATATATTGTTTGATTTATCATTTAATTTTTAAAATGAATAAATTAAATTTTCAAAAAATATGTATTTTAAAAAATCCTGATAAACTATCTCTGCCATCGCACACAGTACCTCCAGACTAGTGTGTCAACATCCCACCCACTGAGCCACCGTGGGCCCCCTCCGAAAGACTAGAAAGTTGTTCTGAATACCAAACTCTTCATCCTGTTCCTTCATTATCAACAAGGAGAAACAAGTTTAGAAAATCCTGAAGAACTTTCTTAACCAACATCAAGATATTTCTATGATCAAACCAAGAATCTGTTGGTTATTGAGCCAGCACCATCCTCACCGAGCTAATGTGGTCACCCTAGTAAATAGGAGTTGGATATTCCTTCAAAGCATACTATTTACCAGGGACCATGACAAATTTTTTTGCAATGTGTCAACCATACTAAATATATTACAATATGGTTTGTTTGTTTACAAAATTTGAATGGTGTATCCAGGGTATAACCATTTAATTATCACTGATGTCATTAAACAATAATTCAAAAAACATTTTTACTGTAATGCAAAAATACAGTTTTACTCAAACACTTATTTGTGTTGACATGAAGACTGCAAGTCTCCTCATGTGACACTAGACACTAAAATATTTATTTCAGCTTACCTCAACTTTTTCTTGAGTGTCCCAACTAGGTAAGGCTTTTGATTCAAACACTAAAATACAAAAGAGGCAAATTAATCATATAGTTACATCACTGATTCGTGAAAGTTGCAACACATTTCTTTCTTGTCCGATGTAGCACTAGGGCATCTGGACCGAGTCACGGTCTAATGTCATAATGGTAGTCAAAGTACAGGTAGCCAAAATTGAAAAAAAGGTGTGAATAAATGAGAGGTAACTGTTTTGTACCCTATGCCACCAAAATCAAATCAGAGCAAAGGTGAGTAAATTTAGAGAATCAGTAACTGATTTTACTATAAATATATGATAATTGAATTCTTTTTGCACCTTGATGACAAATCAAACCTTGGCATAACTATAAGTTAATGCAAGGATATGATGAAAGGTATTTATTGAAATAAGAGTACATTCATTCCAATGTTCTACTCTATGTGACATCATGGCAAGATGAATGATGACACAAGAAACAAAAATAATTAAACATTCAAGTCAGACATGTTCAGAGCTAATGAAAAAAATGAAATGAAATTGGGTTTAATGTCCTACTGTTCTGCTCCGACTGGGCTAATGAAGAGGGGGTACAGTGTGCCCGCACACTGGCACTATGGCCTACTCTTATATCGATTCCATCTGTCAAGGGATCTTTTATGTGCACGCCAATGCATACACAGGTCCTTGGTTTTTCATCCTATCCAAACGAAACCACGCCGGAAAATACTGATGAACTTTCTCGGTCAATGCAGGGATCGAACACGCGACCTCCAGGTTAGTGAGCCAGCATCTTACCGACTTAGCCACCGTGGCTCCCTCAGATCAAATGTATTCTTGTCAAAAATAATATCATGGCTTATTAATGCAGTAAATAGACATCTAAGATCAGGTACTTTAATGATAAACAAATTATTATTACCTATTTCAAAGTCATCTGCACAGACTTGTACACCAATTGCTCCAGTACAAACAGTGCTTGAGAGTTTGTCATTTGCTAACTTGGCTGTCTTTCGGTATTGATGAACTTCTTTACTTAACTTTTCTAATTGTATTCTTAATTCTTCATTGTAATCATTGACTTTTGATAATTGTCTTTCTGCTTTAGCTAGTTTAGAAACCAGATCTTCATTGGTTGTTTTATAATGTGCCAATTCATATTTTAATTCCGAAATATTTTCTTTTAGAGTTTCCACATCCACACTTACAGAATCTGTACCAGACATGGCTCTGTGAAAAATAAAATTAAAAATATTACATTGGTTATAAGGTCATTATCAAATGTCTAATTAATAATTTAGATAACATTTCAGGCCTAAAGAAAGACCTGCAAAACTGCAGATTAAGCTCTTGCATAAGGTATGTTTAACCTATTGCACTTGCAATAATAAAGAAAGTAAAGGTCACTTAAGTTCAGGTGAGCTTGGAGTGTTGGAAATATGATTTTGGACAGTACCAGTACTCGCAGTAGGCCTACTCAGGGCCTCTGTACTCTGTAGCCTTGTTCTGGGGTATAATATTAACGACACTAAGTGTTCAACATAAAAACACACAATTCAAAATGGTAAAGTGCTAAAATTTTAACACACCAAACTTAAATCAACTGCCAATTCGTAAACACCATGACGGTCCTTGCCAGTTCCGAATCCAATACGTGTAAACAAAAAAATAGTCTACCTGAAAAAAAAAATTGGTGATCTTGCAAAATTTTGAGAAATTTATTACATGCAATGTATCTAGATTTACGTTATGGGTCTTTAATAATTATGGACTAATTCATTTTGGGAGTTCGTCTAGTCCCAATATTAAAATTGAGAACTGTTCTCTACTTCGTATAAAACGACACTGACCCAACTGCACTAGTTTTTAGACGGATTGGCAATGGAAACGAAATATGACTCAAGGGAGGTAACTTGTATAATTTGAACGACTGACGGGTGCAGACCACCATTAAATTTCACCATCTCGGTACCAGTTCGTCTATTTATAGCAATTCTCTCTGTGTCTCTTTTCTCCCTTTTTGCATGTCCATGTTTGTAGATTTTTGGGTCTAGAATGGACGAAGAGGGTTGGAATTAACATTTTCTGCCAGGTTTTGGTAAATATTCATGATTTTGAGGCGGAAGGATAACGGGGTAACCAGGTTGGATACGGTGATATGTAAGGCAACTAGTTACATGTTTTTTTAGTATGCCCCTTCAAGTTAGTGTATCTCAAAATTTTGGTGGTCAACCTCATACAAATTTTTGTGCAAAGACATGACCATTTGTTCTTCTGTCTGTAGTGAAAAGCATTCTGCCCAACGAAAAGTTGGAGGTGGGCAAAGAGGCCAGAATTAACATTGAAGTCAATGGGGAAATTAATGGTGGTTTGCCTCCTGACGAGTGGTGAAATGAATGGAATTTTGATGTCCACACCTATCGGACTAGCGAACAAGACATAGCCCACGCCATGCAGTGTGCTGTGAATATTTTTTTCCCCTGGAAATCACCTAGATAACAAACCTTAGCTCTCGAGATGAGAGATGGTATAGTTCCACGTAGCAAAGTCCAACGCAAATCACATCGGGCCTCAGTAAGCAAAAATTGACAATATTTTTCATCAAAACAATGATTGATTATTGTTATTTATAATATTTCTGCCACATCCAACTACAATTAAGCATATAATCAATCCTGAAACGGGTATAAATCATCGTATTTAAAATCGAATCGTTAAGCCGTTACTAGGAACGCCATTTTTAAACGGGAGATGTATGACGATGTAGATCTATGTCGGATAAAAACAAGGCATGTACCTGATAGATAGACCCCTAGGCCTATTTGATATTAGCTAGGCTATTTACTATTAGTAACGCTGGGTTTTAATGGAGGCGGATATTTTAAAATTTTCAACCAAATGTTGACCTAGATATACATTGTTGAAATGGCTCCACTACTGATGTCTCCCGTCTTACGTGAATTGATATGCCTACGTGTACCTGGCCTACGTTTGTCGTTTATTGCTTGTAATTAGTCCGTGTAATTTGTGCATGTTGTCGGTGTGTTTGTCTTATGGACACACCAGCGGAATGAATTGACCGAATTGTTCGGCCGAATCAATCGGCGTCGAATTTCGCTTAACTAAGTGTGTCCACAGTCATTCGGCCGAATTTCTATTCGGCTAGTTTGTCCCATGGTGCATTGGTCCTCCTGCATTATTTCAATGAAGTCAACAAATGAAGTACAATGATTAGGATTCTCTAGTCTTACAAAAAAAAAAAAAAAAAAAAAAAAAATGACGGACGTATTTATGAGTTGTATGGCCTACTTTTTTTTTCTGTGGGCTGTACCTAATCCCAACACTAACGACGATAATTCAGATAAATTAATAAAAATTGTAACGAGTGTCCAAAACTAGGCATCGGCCATCAGACGGGAGTTGCAATATTAAAAACATAATATATTCGATCTAAGGGTTAAAATAACGTATGTACAGGCCTTCGTATACAGGAAGCAGAAGTTTAAATACCGGTACAGAAAATGACAGAGACATAGCAACAACGCGATTTAACTTAAGTTTACATAATGTGTGTCATAGCGTTAAAGTAGCTAAGTCTCTAACTCAATATCGTCCAAAATCTTCGACATGAAAACACGAATTATTTGTCACTTTAAATCAACATTGATGTTGTGATCTTACCGGGAAAAGATGGGCTTCTGATATCCAATATTTAAGACAAAATAAACATTTTACCATTGGTACACGAAGAACGAAGCTAGACATAATCCACAAGTCACGTCAAACGGTGACGGCATATTCTTATCTGGGGAGCATGCACAATAGATACTATCGGTGTAGACTGGAAAAAGCAGGCGCTAGAGGTTGCCATTCGATTGAGACTTCTGGCGTATTTCGCCGAACATAACTGATTTGAAGTTAGAGTAAAAAGGGAAACGATTGAATGTAAATCAGTTTATATACATTCATATTACAAATATATATGCGTTGCGAACCATTTGTGTCAACTTCTAGGTCCCAAATATTAGCGACTTACTCCTTTAAAGCTACAATTTCATATTTTTAAGTTATATTTTTAAAATTTATTAAAATAAAGCCTTAAAATAGATGGTATCCATAAACCGTCCTACCTTGTTAAAGAATAATCCTATTAATCCTATAATTCACTATTGCCAGCTGAAAAATTGGCAAAAATATCATTTTCAACTTCAAATTTAACGTTTGAAGGTAGCTAGTGCATGGAGGCAATAGGAAAACAAGGGAGGTAATTGTGTTATTATTTCTTGTGTCAATGATTTTTAAGTGTGGGAAATAATGCCCATGGTCGTATAATAGTGAGTTGATAACCTATTGAGCAAAAGACATAGAAATAATTATGTTTTGACTTTCTTAAGTATGAACTCAAAGGGTTAATAGCTTGACAGATTGGCCAATTAGCCAATATATTTTTATGACACAGCCAATTCAACAAAATGGAGCCCTGTTCAATTTCCAGTTCAATTAGGCCCCTACGTCACTGAAACAATTTAACATCAGCCAAGATCAAACATCAGCCAAGGTCAAACACAGGCTACATTTTAATAGTTGAAAAATGAGTTTCCGTCCTACTATCACACGAGCAAAACTTTGTGTTCAGGAAATGAAATGAATCAATTGAATATACTTGACTTAAGCATACAATGTGTATTAGGGTTTGGTATTATATAGCCTTTATTCCCATTTCATATTTTGTTTAAGAGATCACAGTATATCAAAATGGAATCGCGTAAAACCCGTTGTTCTAAATTCGCCAGATATATATCGTTGGATCACAAGCAACAAGAAGACTTTGTGACATTCCAGGTAAGGCCATGATGGACGAGGCAGGTAAAACTGTATTGTACCCGTATTTGACTCAGTAAGGGGCTGGCTTACTTACCGGAAGGTCCAGGTTTGATCCTGGTCCGGAGTGGTGTCCCCTTGTTAGTGGGACAGGGCTCGCTCGGTGAGTAAGGCGCTGGCTCTTTAACCAGGAGGACCGGGGTTCTGTCTTGGTGCCGAGAATGTACCGCACCCGCAGGATTAAAGCGCGTGTCCCCTTGTCAGTGGTGCATAACGGGTTGGTCGAAAAACCAAGGTTCCGCGGGTGTGCAAGTTGGAATTCGTAATAAGAGTAGGTGCTAGCACCACTGTCAAAGACAAATTTCTCTCATAACACACTGCTCAGCCCGACTTCCTTAGCCCGGTCGGTGAAGAACAGCATAGGGCGTTAATATTAGAATGTCATCGATTTCACTATAAATCTAATACGCTATCGTGAGGTTTTTAATTAATTTATCTGTATGGCCACTATCAAAGCGAAATGAATGCGATTTCACACGATTTTCAAATAGAGAGAACAAGTTGTGTTGCAATAAACACTGGAGTTTTTTTATAAACAAAAACCTGTTTGTGGTTGTTAGTCACGTGTTCATCAACAAATAACTGTTCCTGGAAGGTCTGGGTAATCTGTAATAGTAAACTGCAATGACTTACAGAAGATATGCTAATCCCCATAGAAATAAAACCATTTTCCATATCTGTAAAGTATAATGGGTTCAATTTATGGGTATTCTTTATTTCGTCCCAATTTTGATATTTTGTAGATTTGTACTGATACTATAGTATAACGAAAACAAAATGAGCCAGAAAAAAAGAAAGAAACACGGATACCTCAACATCAGCCCACAATAAATGGAAGGGGGCCCACTGTCTATGACTTTGAAAACCCGATGGAGAGCCTCGGATGGCCCCATCAGCCATCACTGCCACTAGCAGATGTAATTCTCGGCCCAACCATGCTCACACATCGCTTTTCCCACAACTGAGATTTTTTTTGTTGGGGGGGGGGGGGGTGTCGGAGGCCCTTTGACCTGGGCCCCACCACGCCCCATTGATAATCCGGCCCTGCATATGGGGCATAATTATAATTAGAATACTTATATATTATATGTCAAATTATCTGATCGTCATTTGAGACATTTTATTTAATTACAAACTACACTTTTGGGAAATACAGGCCTCTGGAAGGAATATTATTCCAAAAATAGTTCTGTTCCGTTTAGTATTTACATGACGAATTGAAAATTTGTCAACATGTGGTATCCCTAGAGACGATGGTAACGAGGAATAATCATCAGGCATCCCAATAAGCTATCTTACAGTATAGTGGACATAAACAGAATTCGGTTACAAACTACTGCAGCCGTTTTCTTTTAACAATTACTATGAAGGTACCAAAAGACTAAGCATTTGTATGCTCAGATCAAGATGGGTGAATTAGACAAGTTTGAAAGCCAAATTTCATACAGATATCTTGAATGATTGTTGATATCTCAACTTTGTTTTCAAACACAAAATATTTTCATAAAGATATCCGGTTTATCAGATATATTCCGGCATAAAAAATGTACCAAAAACTAAGTCAAATATTTTTATTGTAAAAAAACAAAAATTATTCAACCAAGAAATTTATATTTAGCTATTATAGATACTATTTAGCCACAATTTTTCATAAAGATTGAAAAGTTTATGAGATATGCCCCAAAATAAAAATGGTATTCTAAAAACCAAGTCAATTTTGTTTCCATGAAACACAAATTATTTTTAATTTTATAGATTTCATAAATACATCTTGAACCAAAAACTTTCAAAACTAATAAATCGGAAACATTTCCAATTAGCAAATCGAACAACTACTATAATAGGTCGATGTATACATGTACAAAGTTTCACAAAAATATTTCGGACGGTTTATGAGATATACTCCGGAAACAAAACTCTGGATAAAAATGAACCGAAAGAACAGTTTAAAAATATACTAGAACGAATAATTAATATGGTTTTGAATCTGACA